AGCCCAAACGCCCAAACGCTTAAAAACGGTGTCGGAAAAGTTACGAATCGTATTCCCTTAGGGTCCCTGTATAAATATACTACAAGAACCCCCCAAAGCCCTGTTCTAATGATTAAGGACCCTATATTAAGCACCTCGCCCTGCACAAAAACACCCTGAACCCTAAGCCCTAAACCCTAAACCCTAAACCCTAAACCCTGAACCCTGAACCCTAAACCCCAAACCCTAAACCCTAAACCCTGAACAAAAACAAGAACGAGGCTCCTGAGGCGACTCATGGCGGAGGAGGCCAAGGATTGCCTCCGCACCTCGTGCGGCTCTCAAGGCTATGGGGTTTAGGGTTGAGGGGTTGAGGGTTGAAGGTTTAGGGTTTAGGGTTTCGGCTAGGGTTTAGGGTTTAGGGTTGAGGGTTGAGGGTTGAAGGTTTAGGGTTTAGGGCTATGGTTTAGGGTTTAGGGTTTCGGGCTTAGGGCTTCGGGTTTAGGGTTTAGGATTCAGGGTTTAGGGTTTAGGGTTTGTTTAGGGTTTAGGTTTTATAGGCTTCGGGGGCTTAGGATGTAGGGTTTAGGAAGGGCCCTGCGCGCTAGGGTTTACGACTTCAGGCGTTTGGGGCTTGAATTCGGGTTTTGCAGCCGTATTCGATTCCGCTCCTAGTTTAAGATTCAGGGTTTAGAGTATAGGCTGTAGGGTTTAGGGTTTAGGGTTTTGGGTTTGGGGTGCAGGGTTTAGGCTTTAGGGTCAGGGAATCGAGTAGGAATGTGAAGGGAACGCAAGCACCCAGATAGGTCCATTCCTGTTACTTGGGGTTCCCTGTTTTGGGGTTCCCTGTTTTGGGGTTCCCATTGAAGTCCTCCAAAAACCCCTAAACCCTAAACCCTAAACCCTCGACCCTAAACTCTAAACCTTGAACCCTGAACCTTGAACCCTAACCCCAAAGCCCTAAACCCTAAACCCTAAACCCTAAACCCCAAACCTAAAGCCTACCACCCTACACCCCAAGCCCGAAGCCTTGTTTGGGCTCCCTGTAAACTCGGCTTTTCTCAGCCCAAACGGCCCATATCCACTGCCCCACCACTGCCAGGAAGACCTGGTGCGGGGCGCAGCAATGGGCCAGCAGGCCCCAGGCCAAGCCCTAAACCCCAAACCCCAAACCCCAAGCCCTAAACCCTAAACCCTAAACCCTAAACCCTAAACCCTAAACCCTAAACCCTAAACCCTAAACCCTAAACAACCAAGACGGGACAATCAGGGCCAGAGCCTACTTATTGGTGGCAGCCTTCGTCACTCGAACCGACTCAAGAACGGGGCGGGTTTAGGGTTTAGGGTTTGGGGTTTAGGGTTTAGGGTTTAGGGTTTAGGGTTTAGGGTTTAGGGTTTAGGGTTTAGGGTTTAGGGTTTAGGGTTTGGGGTTTAGAGTTTAGGGTTTAGGGTTAAGGTTGAGGGTTGAGGGTTGAGGGTTGAGGGTTGAGGGTTGAGGGTTGAGGGTTGAGGGTTGAGGGTTGAGGGTTGAGGGTTGAGGGTTTAGGATTTAGGATTTAGGGTTGACGGAGTTGAGGGAGTTGAGGGAGTTGAGGGAGTTGAGGGAGTTGAGGGGGTTGAGGGGGTTGAGGGAGTTGAGGGAGTTGAGGGAGTTGAGGGAGTTGAGGGAGTTGAGGGAGTTGAGGGAGTTGAGGGTTGAGGGAGTTGAGGGTTGAGGGACTTGAGGGTTGAGGGAGTTGAGGGTTGAGGGAGTTGAGGGTTGAGGGGGTTGAGGGGGTTGAGGGGGTTTAGGGTTTAGGGTTTAGGGTTTAGGGTTTAGGGTTTAGGGTTTAGGGCTTAGGGTTTAGGGTTTAGGGTTTAGGGTATCCTTCACTAACTTCTTTTGAGGTTTTGGGGTTTAGGGTTTCGGGTTCTTAAGGGAGGGGGGTTCAAGGGGGGTATGTAAGCCAAGGTTCCCTAATGCGCCCCCCACTACTCCCTAAGGCTCCCTAAGTTTAGGGTTTAGGGTTTAGGGTTTAGGGTTTAGGGTTTAGGGTTTAGGGTTTAGGGTTTAGGGTTTAGGGTTTAGGGTTTAGGGTTTAGGGTTTAGGTATCTACCCCCTTTGAACCCCCTCCCTTAACCCTATAACCCCAACTCCAATAAAATAAAAAAATGAATAACCCCAGTGTGTTTCGCGATAGCGAAGCCCAAGGCGAAAGCCAAGCGCCACTGCAAAGGAACCCGGACGGAACGACCCCAAGAAGATAACCTCGAGTAGTGCCACGGGAAGTAATCCCCAAACCCTAAACCCCAACCCCAAACCCCAAACCCTAAACCCTCAACCCTAAACCCTTTGGGTTTCATCCGCTTGCATGGCTTCATGCCCTGTCTACCCTAGACCCGTAGCAAACACTACGGTTTAGAGTTTAGGGTGTAGGGTTTAGGGTTCAGGGTTTAGGGTTTTAGGGTTTAGGGTTTAGGGGAAGCTGGTGACATAAACCTAAGAAACCCCGGGGAGAAAACTCCCGGGGCGGGACGCCCCTCGAAGATCAGGGGTTTATATGGGTTTGTAGGGCTTCTATGTTTACAGGGCTTGTAGGGTTTCAAAGGGTTTCCAGGGTTTGTAGAGTTTACAGGCTTATGGGGCTTGTAGAGTTTATATAAGGGGATTACACAGGGTTTCCTAGGTCTTGTAGGGGTGATGCAGGGTCTGTACAGGGTCTATAGAGTTTAGGGCAGGCTCAGGCAGGGTTTCATAGGTCTTGTAGGGGTGATGCAGGGTCTATACAGGGTCTATAGAGTTTAGGGCAGGCTCAGGTTGAGGTGGGCAGCTTCCCCAATGGGAGGCTTTGAGGATTCTAGACATCTTAGATAACTTGTATCAGAGGCTCATGCAAACAGCACCAGCCTTTAGGGTTTAGGGTTTGTTTAGGGTTTAGGATTTAGGGAGTAGGGTGTAGGGTTTAGGGCTTAGGGCTTAGGGCTTAGGCTTAGGGTTTGGGGTTTAGGAGTTAAACTACAAGTTGCCTTGCTTTGCATCAACCCGGGAAACGTTCAGCTGCGACTGTCTGTTTCTTAGTTGGGCTTAGGACATGCGCCCAGACCCTGAACTCTAAACCCAAACACGAACTAAATTCTAAACCCCAAGCTCTAAACTGAAAAACCCAAACCCCAAACTCCAAACCTCAAACCCCAAACCCCAAGCCCCAAGCCCCAAACCCCAAACCCCACAAAGGGCTTCAGCTGCAGCTGAGGCGCCGCTTCCACGGCCAGGGAGGCTGCGAAGTATGCTGCGAAGGTCTCCATAGCCAAGGGACTCCCAAACTCGTATTGGGGAGACTTCCGGGTGAGGTGTTGCCCAGGGTCTAGGGTTTAGGGTTTAGGGTTTAGGGTTTAGGGTTTGGGGCTAGAAGGCTTGGGACGTGTGGCCCTGTTTGGTCACGAGGTTGGGGAGTAGCGTAAACACACCCGGAGCCCCGAACAGTACAACCCTTTAGGGCTCAGAGGTTTCGAGCCGCAGGATGCGTTGCAGAAGGCCTCGGTGACGTCGAGTCTTGGGCTCCAGGGTTTAGGGTCTTAGGGACTGGATACCCTAATGAGCCCCAAACATATACATATATATATATATGTATATACATATATAGTGGGATTCTATATAACCAAAAAGGTTAACGGTTGCCTACCCAGGCCCGAAGGGGTTGACCTGTGGCCTGCTTGATCAATAGGGACTACACCCCCCCCCCCCCTATTGGAATGCCTATTAAGGACTGCTAGCATAAGGGGGAACATCCCGATTTTAGGGTTTAGGGTTTAGGGTTTAGGGTTTAGGGTTTAGGGTTTAGGGTTTAGGGTTTAGGGTTTAGGGTTTAGGGTTTAGGGTTTAGGGTTTAGGGTTTAGCGTACGATTCAAGAGGGTGCCGTTCAAGAGGGTGCCGCGCAACACCTGAAGTTCAGGCCTGTTCGGATTTAGGGCAACCCTAAACTCTAAACCCTAAAACCTAACACTAAACCCTAAATAACTAGACCCCTTGAGCCAACCCAAGACCCCAAGCTTGGGTATCCCAGGCCCCTAACCCCTAAACCCTAAGCCCTAAACCCTAAACCCTAAGCCCTGAACCCTAAACCCTAAACCCTAAACCCCCCTAAACCCTAAACCCTAAACCCTAAACCCTAAACCCTAAACCCCAGGCTTCGGTATCCCCGGCTCCTTCGGAAAGAGCCCCCCCCATCCCAAACGACGCGCGGCCGCCGCATGCAGAGGGCTTCGGGCGGAGAGCTTAGGGTTTAGGTTTAGGGTTTAGGGTTTAGGGTTTAGGGTTTAAGGTTTAGGGTTTAGGGCGAGGGTTTAGGGTTTAGGGTTTAGGGCGAGGGTTTAGGGTATAGGGTATAGGGTTTAGGGTTTAGGGTTTAGGGTTTAGGGTTTAGGGTTTAGGGTTTAGGGTTTAGGGTTTAGGCTTTAGGCTTTAGGCTTTAGGGTTTAGGTTTAGTGCTTAAGATCCCCCCAAAGAAAACAAATACTCCTTATCATGGCAATATAGGGAATATCATTGTTTACTTTTGAGGTGGTTCTTGTATCAAGCAAGGCGCATGCGGAAGGCTTGAGCAGAAAATGGAGTGCCCGAACGCCACCATCCAGAAGGATCGAAAATCAGAAACTTCCAGACCGGACCCCAAACCATAAACCCTAAACCCTAATTACCCTAAACCCTTAACCCGAATTACCCTAAACCCCAAACCCTAAACCCTAAACCAAGCCTAATTACCCTAAACCCTAAGCACACTCAGGGGTGAGGTTTGGGGTTTACATTTGGGGGCGGCCTCCAAAAACGGTCCCTACTCAAACTCTGTCGGGTTTAGGGAGTAGGGTGTAGGGTGTAGGGTGTAGGGTGTAGGGTTTAGGGTTTAGGGTTTAGGGTTTAGGGTTTAGGGTTTAGGGTTTAGGGTTTAGGGCCTAGGGCCTAGGGCTTAGGGCTTGGGGCTTAGGGCTTAGGGAATCTAAATTTGGAACCTCCCTAAACCTCGTCGTGCACAGGGCCGCGGCGTAGTGAACGGCTGCGGCACCTCGCCGTCCCCGCGCACGTGTGCCTGGAGGGCTAAGTGCCAGCGTTTCATCTAGGGGTTGAGGGTTGAGGGCCGAGGGTTTACGGTCTACTAGTTCATGGTCGGGATAGTATGAAAAATGTTAACTGCTATTCCTTAGTGAGTCTAAATACGCTTGAAAATGTAAAAATGTTACCCCACTATGACAAAGTCAAGAGGGGAAAACGCACCATGCTTCTGCGAGCTCAAATATACCGGAACATGCAAGTCTCTCCCTGCAAACGAACTTGGTTGCAAACTTAGCGGAAAGATCGGGAAACGGCAGGCCGGGAGTTTAGGTGGTTTAGAATGTGGGGGCGACCAGGGTGCACCGGCAGTTCTCTTGGGGGGGGGGGGGGGGGGGGGGGGGGGCGGGGTGCACCGGCAATTGCCTTGGGGGGCAGGGTGCAGCGGCAATTGTCTTGGGGGGGCCGGCAATTGTCTTGAAAGAGGGCCGGGGTGCACCGGCAATTGTCTTGGGTTTAGGGTCTTTACCTTTGACACTCAAAGGCTCGACCGCCTTGACGGCAAGTGTGGGCCTTACCTTGCCTTAGAGCGTCCAGCAGCCCCAGCTTTACCTGGGCTGCACGTTCAGTGCTCTCAGGTCGCTCGCGAAGCTCGGACAGCTTCGGGCTCTCAAGTGTTGGTAGCGAGCCCTCAGCAGGACTTTAGGTTTAGGGGGTTTAGAAGGTTTAGGGTTTAGGGTTTAGGGTTTAGGGTTTAGGGTTTAGGGTTTAGGGTTTAGGGTTTAGGAAGGTTTAGGGGCTTTGGGGGTTTAGGGGGGGTCTAGGGGCTGTCACTCGGAGATGAATTTGGGTGTTGGAGACTCAAGGACGCCCCAGGCCCCCAGTTGATGGCCCTGGGTCAGAATTCTATGTGTCTTTCGTTGTGCGTTTGCGATGCTCTCGATCTTGGTCCTGAATGTGTGCCTCTGCTGCGAAGGCACCTCAACTGAGGAGGCATGCACTTCTGTTTGGGTTTAGGGGCGTCCGGAAAGGGTGTCTCCAGGTGCGCGCAGGCAACAGCTTTAAGTCCAAAGCCCTAAGCCCTAGACCCTAAATCCCGAACCCTAAACCCCAAACCCTAAACCCTAAACCCGAAACCCTAAGCAGCCTCGGTCAGGTCCGTGTGGTGGCCGCCCACCTGCGGACAAAGGCTTGGCTGCACTCAGGAGGGTAGCTATAAATTAAACTTTTAGCTGCCTTAAGAAGAAACCCAATAAACCCAAAACAGGTAAGGATCTAAAGTTGCAGTAAAGTACCACAAAGAAAGGGAGGGGACAAGGGGGGGAAGGGTATGGGGGTGAGGGCTTACCGGGCTTACGGGGTTCATGTGGCTGTTTAGGGTGTAGGGCGTAGGGTGTAGGGTTTCGGGTTTAGGGTTTAGGGTTTAGGGTTAAGGTTTTAGGGATTGGGGCTTAGGGGCCTCCGCCAGCGCCAGTACTGTTTAAGAAAGCAGCCGGGGGACGCATGAGAGAAAGCCTCCCAACAGCTCGTCCCGAAGCCCTGAAGCCCGGAACTTTGCAACTGCCAGGGACGGCCCTGAAGATATTGAGGAGAGAGAGAGAGAGGGAGAGAGAGAGATCCACAGAGAGCGGGAGAAAGAAAGGTAATGAGATTAAGAATGGAGAAAAGAGCTGGGGAAATAGAAAGAGAAAGAGAAAGAGGAAAAAGAGAGAGAGAGAGAGAGAGCGAGAGAAAAGAGAGAGAGAGAGCCTAAGTGAGTACAGGTATAATCTTGCTTCTGCGAGCCCCCCCAAGAAAGGCACAGTTTAATTCAAAGAAATCAACTCCCCGACTAAAAATCCGGACCCGAAACCCTGACACCCGGAAACCCTGAAACACACAAACCCTAAACCCCAAACCCTAAACCCCAAAAAATGCCCTGAAACCCTGAACCCTAAAGGCGGCCTCCTTTCCTGTCAGGGCCGGGCCAGCATTGCCCCAACCTGCCGCGAAAGTCGGGGTGAGGGCTGGGACGTTGGGGGGGTGGGGGGCATCAAGCCTAGCGTTTAGGCTTTAGGGTTTAGGGTTTAGGGTTAGGGTTTCGGGTTTGGGGTTTGGGGTTTGGGGTTTAGGGTTTTTGGGGTTTAGGGCGTTTAGGGCGTTTAGGGCGTTTAGGGCGTTTAGGGCGTTTAGGGCGTTTAGGGCGTTTAGGGCGTTTAGGGCGTTTAGGGCGTTTAGGGCGTTTAGGGCGTTTAGGGCGTTTAGGGGGTTTAGGGCGTTTAGGGTAGGCCGTCAGTTTAGGGTCAGGAGTGGTTGCGACAATAGCCGTGTGTTTAGGGCCTGTTTAGGCTGATAGCGAGTTTTAGCCTGCCGTGAGGTAGGAGAAGAGGGCGTTTAGGGCGTTTGTAGGGCGTTTAGGGCGTTTGGGCGCTTTAGGGCGTTTAGGGCGTTTAGGGCGTTTAGGGCGTTTAGGGCGTTTTAGGGCGTTTAGGGCGTTTAGGGCGTTTAGGGCGTTTAGGGCGTTTAGGGCGTTTAGGGCGTTTAGGGCGTTTAGGGCGTTTAGGGCGTTTAGGGCGTTTAGGGTTTAGAGATTAGGGTTTAGGGTTTAGGGTTTAGGGTTTAGGATTCCAACTCCCTGGCTAGCTGTGTCCCCTAAACCCTCAGGCGCCGCAAAGCTCGCTTCACCCTTGTTAAAAAAGCTTAAACCCTAAACCCCAAACCCTAAACCCTAAACCCTAAACCCTAAACCCTAAACCCTAAACCCTAAACCCTAAACCCTAAACCCTAAACCCTAAACCCTAAACCCTAAACCCTAAACCCTAAACCCTAAACCCTAAACCCTAAACCCTACACGACTTTGGGGTTCAGGGCTTTGGGCCCTGAACCCTTGAGATCATGCGCGAAGCCTTGGCCGTTGGTCTCGAAGTCGTTCATGATGTCGCGAATGAAGTTGACCTGGAGTTGCAAGGGAGGGGTTTAGGGTTTAGGGTTTAGGGTTTGGGGTTTGGGGTTTTGGGTTTAGGGTTTAGGGTTTCGGGTTTAAGGTTTAGGGTCTAGGGTTTAGGGCCTAACAAAAGATCGAGGTCTTCCTTGTCCCTAAGCCCTGTAATTACCCAGAATTCTGGGAGGATCCAAAAAGTAGAACCCCCAAAGACTGAACCTAAACACTAAACCAGAAACCCTAAACCCTAAACCCTAAACACTAAACCAGAAACCCTAAACCCTAAACCCTATGAAAGCTCCTCAGCCCCGGGCGTTGTCACCGTCGCCCCTCGTCCTGCAAGAGCGGGTTTCAGCTTCTGGGTTTAGGGTTTAGGGTTTAGGGTTTAGGGTTTAGGGTTTAGGGTTTAGGGTTTAGGGTTTGGGGTTTAGGGTTTAAGGTTTAGGGTTTAGGGTTTAGGGTTTAGGGTTTAGGGTTTAGGGTTTAGGGTTTAGGGTTTAGGGTTTAGGGTTGGGTCGAGGGTTTTTTGGGGTTTAGGGTCAGGTCTTAGGGTAAACTTGCGGCCTAAACAACTTTAGGGTTTTAGGGCTTCGGGCTGTGCGTCAGGGGGGGGGGGCTTTTGGGGTCTAGGATTTCCGGGCTTAGGGCTCAGGGGGTTTGGGGCTGACAAGAAAACACCAGCTCTGAGTCCCTCCTGACTACATCTTGCGCAAACTCTGAAAACTGAAACGAAAAACCTCCTACAAGCCTTGGAAGCTCAGTAACCATACTACAAGAAGTGTGCCGTTCTTGGTGTTGGTGGCTTGGTCGCGGGGCTTAACACTCATGCACCAAAAGGCCCCCAGACCCTCCCCATCCCAACGCATGAAATTTTGGTTCACATGAGCCCCATTTGCACGCCCGTGCGATTTAGGGTTTAGGGTTTAGGGTTTAGGGTTTAGGGTTTAGGTTTAGGTTTAGCTGAGGGTTTAGAGTTTAGGGTTTAGGGTTTGGAGCAGGGAAGGTGTATCGCTAGGCCGATGCACGGATGAGGGCACGCGCAACTCAAAGAACCGCGAACCTTGAGGGTAATACTCCAGGGTTTCCCCAACGCGCAACTTTGAACCCCTAAACCCCTAAACCCCGAAACCCCGAAACCCCGAAACCCCGAAACCCCCAAACCCCCAAACCCCCAAACCCCCAAACCCCTAAAACCCCTAAAACCCCTAAAAACCCCAAAACCCCAAAACCCCTACACCCCCAAACCCCGAAACCCCGAAACCCCCAAACCCCAAACCCCTAAACCCCTAACCCCTAAACACCCCTAAACACCCCTAAACACCCCTAAACACCCCTACAACACCCCTAAACACCCCTAACACCCCTAAACCACTAAACACCCCTAAACACCCCTAAACACCCTAACCCCAAACCCTAACCCCCAAACCCCCAACCCCAAACCCCTAAAACCCCCAAACCCCTAAACACACCCTAACACCCCAACACCCCTAAACCCCTAAACCCCTCAACCCCGAAACCCCTAAACCCCTGAACCCCTAAACCCCGAAACCCCTAAACCCCCAAACCCCCAAACTCCTAAACCCCTACACCCCTAAACCCTAAACCCCAAACTCCTAAACCCCGACACCCCTAAACCCTAAACCCCTAAACACCCGTAAACACCCCTAAACACCCCTGAACACCCCAAACACCTCTAAACACCCCAAAACACCCCTAAACACCCCTAAACACCCCTAAACACCCCTAAACACCCCTAAACACCTAAACCGCTAAACTCCTAAACCCCCAAAACCCCCATCCCCCAAACCCCTAAACCCCTAAACACCCCTAAACACCCCTAAACACCCCTAAACACCCCTAAACACCCCTAAACACCCCTAAACACCCCTAACCCCTAAACCCCTCAACCCCAAACCCCTAAACCCCTAAACCCCTGAACCCCTAAACCCCGAAACCCCTAAACCCCAAAACCCCCAAACTTCTAAACCCCTACACCCCTAAACCCTAAACCCCAAACTCCTAAACCCCTACACCCCTCAACCCTAAACCCCGAAACACCCCTAAACACCCCTAAACCTCTAAACCCCTAAACCCCAAACTCCCAAACCCCCAAACCCCTAACCCCCTAAACCCCTAAACCCCTAAACCCTAAAGAGTCCTGGCCCCCGGTGGCCGGTACGGCTGCTTGGCGCCGCCGCCACCTTGGCCTGCTGTGGGGAGGGTTTAGGGTTTAGGGTTTAGGGTTTAGGGTTCAGGGTTCAGGGTTCAGGGTTCAGGGTTCAGGGTTCAGGGTTCAGGGTTCAGGGTTCAGGGTTTAGGGTTAGGGGTTCAGGGTTGAGGGTTGAGGGTTGAGGGTTGAGGGTTGAGGGTTGAGGGTTGAGGGTTGAGGGTTGAGGGTTGAGGGTTGAGGGTTGAGGGTTGAGGGCTGAGGGTTGAGGGTTTTGGGTTTTGGGTTTAGGCTCTGTTTTTTGGGATTTGGGAGTTGGGGTTTCGGGTTTTGGGTTTAGGGTTCTGGGTTTTGGGATTTGGGGTTTTAGGGTTCTGGGTGTTAGGGTGCTAGGGTTTCTGGGTCTAGGGCTTCTGGGTCTTGGGGTATCAAGGTTTCTGGGTCTTAGGGTCTTCGGATTTGAGAGACCGCAAACTCACTCCCACACGCACGCAAAAACAGAGAGACTGATGTGTTCTAGAAGGGCCTGTCGCGCCACCCTGCCACGCTACATAGCCTGGAGCTTCGTAGCAAGGGTCCGCGTGCCGCATGCGTAGAGCAGCAGGAGAAGGTGGCATTTCCGAAGCAGGTGCCGCCCCATCCCTCGCGTGATCGCGTTCGAGTCCTGCATGTTCTTGCGATGCATCGGAGTATTGCTTGAGCAAATTTAGGGCCTATGCGCAAGCATCAGCACCCTCTAATGGTGAGGGATCGTCAGCATCTTCATGCCCGCTTAGCGACGCAGCAAATTGACTTTCGTTCTCGAGACAGGGCCTACGGTTCTATGGTTTAGGGTTTAGGGTTTAGGGTTTAGGGTTTAGGGTTTAGGGTTTGGGTTTTGGGTTTTGGGTTTAGGGTCAGGCTTTTTGGGGTTTTGGGTTTTTGGGGGTGTGGGTTTCCGAGTATGGCCCTTAACTTGGGTCCCTTGTTGCGTAACCCTTATTTACACTACACAAGAAGGGCCCATACCTCGGATCCCTGCAAACAAAGGGCACGCGACCATAGTAAGGGCCCCCGGTGCCAACCACCTTTCTATGATTCTGACCAAACCAGAAAGCCCAAAAAGGCTGGGTTTAGGGTTTAGGGTTTAGGGTTTAGGGTTTAGGGTTTAGGGTTTAGGGTTTAGGGTTTAGGGTTTAGGGTTTAGGGTTTAGGGTTTAGGGTTTAGGGTTTAGGGTTTAGGGTTTAGGGTTTTTCAAGTTCGACGACAGGCTAAGGAAGATTCACGTACCTCCGCACGCAGCTTGAGACACTGCACGGGTCAGCTGCTCTCGAGCAGCTGGCTTCCTTTCGACCCCTTCCCCAGTAAGTGGCCATATGTGAGAACAACAAGGGCCGCTAAACCTCTAAACCCTAAACTCCCTAAACTCCATGAACCCCAGACTCTCTACAAAACCCTAAACCCTAAACTCTATAAACCCTAAACCCTAAAACTCTAAAAACCCTAAACCCTGAACCCTGAACCCTGAACCCTAAACCCTAAACCCTAAACCCTAAACCCTAAACCCTAAACCCGCACCTCCTTCCGGCGAGGCGTTCCAGTTGTTGATCCCCTTCTGCGGGGAGCCCTCGGGCCTGCGAGGGGTCTCATAGTGCTCTTAGACCGTTTAGGGTTTAGGGTTTAGGGTTTAGGGTTTAGGGATAGGGTTTAGGGTTTAGGGTTTAGGGTTTAGGGTTTAGGGTTTAGGGTTTAGGGTTTAGGGTTTAGGGTTTAGGGATAGGGTTTAGGGTTTAGGGTTTAGGGTTTAGGGTTTAGGGTTTAGGGTTTAGGGTTTAGGGTTTAGGGTTTAGGGTTTAGGGTTTAGGGTTTAGGGTTTAGGGTTTCCTAATCCATAAACCCTCAAGGCCAACAACAACCCTCAACCCTAAACTTCCCTAAGCCCTAAGCCCAAATTAAACCCTAAACCCTAAACCCTGCTCAGGGCTTAGGGCTTAGGGCTGTTAAGCCTTTTCAGGGCTCTTAGGGCTCAGGCCCTTAAGGCCCTTCGGGCCCTTAGAATTCTTAGGGCTCTGAGGGCTCGTAGGGCTCTTAGGGCTCTTAGGGGGGCCTATGGTGTAGCGCTTAGGTGTTGTTGAGGGTTCCTGAGGGTTCCTAGGGGGTTTTGGGTTTTGGGTTTAGGGTTCTTGGGTTTCTTGGGATTACGGGCGGTTTAGGGCTTGAGCGTTCGGAGAGCTTCGTTCTTGAAGGGTTCGTAGGGTTTAGGGTTTACGAGTTAGAGCTTAGGAGGGCTACGGTTTAGGCTTCTAGGGGTTAACCCTAAACCCTAAACTTTAAACCCTGAACCTGAACCCCAAACCCTAAACCCTAAACCCTAAACCCTAAACCCTAAACCCGAGCCCTAAACTCTAAACGCATTCTTCCGGGTTTTGGGCCCCAATGCCAAACCAAGTGGCTCGTCGTCGTCGATATTGGCCCACCGCTCCTGGACGCCAGGACCCTGAACCCCAAAACCCCCAAACCCCAAACCCTAAACCCCAAACCCTAAACCCTAAACCCTAAACCCCAAACCCTAAACCCTAAACCCTGAACCCTGAACCCTGAACCCTAAACCCTAAACCCTGAACCCCAAACCCCAAGCCCTAACTCAACCATCAACCCTGGGGCCGGTACCCAAACGTTCAAGCTGACTAACCCCGAACGGTGCTCGCCCTAAACCCTAAACCCTAAACCCTAAACCCTAAACCCTAAACCCTAAACGCTAAACCCTAAACCCTGAACCCTGAACCCTGAACCCTGAACCCTGAACCCCGTAACCTGTACCCTGTACCCTGTACCCTGAGCCGTGCCAGCACCTGGACGAAACCTTCAACTAAAACCCCTCAATCCTGCAACCCTCGCCTCCTCAACCCTCACGTCCCTCCAAACGAGGACACAGGGTTTAGGGTTTAGGGTTTAGGGCTTAGGGCATAGGCCTTAGGGCATAGGCTTTGCGCTTGGGGCTTGGGGCTTGGGGCTTAGGAATTAGGGTGTAATGTCATACACTTTTGCGGCTTGGATTGATGCCTCAGGGCCCAAGAAGCTATGACCTAAAGTAATGGGGAACAGTTGGGGTAGGGTTCAGGGTCCCGGGTTCACTTTTTGGGGGTATATCTTGTAGGGTTTAGGCTATTTTAGGGTATATGTTTCGGGCTAAACTGGGGTTTAATGTTTCAGGGTTTAGGGGGTTTGGCCGGTTTAGCCGGTTTTGCCCCATTCATGAATAATCCCCGCATGTGACCCCAGAGAAATACTCATCTTTCACTCCCCCATTGATCCTTTGAGGATCAGAAAGCCGCACTGCCCTAAAGTCTGAATCATACTTGGCTGCACTCAGGAGGGTAGCTATAAATTAAACTTTTAGCTGCCTTAAGAAGACACCCAATAAACCCGAACAAGGTAAGGACCTAAAGTTACAGTAAGGTACCACAAAGCATTGAGACCCTAAAACCCTAAACCGAAAACCCCTCTGAGCCTAACCCCTACAAAATCGAAGCCGGCCTTGTGACCATTCTTCGCCTAAGCGGACCGGGCTGGGCGCGAGATTTGCAAGGATAAGGCATGGGGTTTAGGGTTCAGGGTTTGTAGCGATTAGGGAGTAGGCTTTAGGGTTTAAGGGTTGTTAGTGTACACGGCTTTTGTAGGTTTAAGGTGTTGGGGTTTAAGGCGTATAGGGCTTCGAGGGCTTACAGGGCTTGGGGCTTTTGGATACTTTGGGAGGCTGCTGCCGGTCCATTCAAGTACAACGACTTGTGCGCCAAACCCTAACCCTAAACCCCACACCCGAAACCCAAAACCCTAGACACTTATACAGCAACAGGTGCTGAACACGCTGACCGGCAAGCCCTGCGAGGGAGATCATGAGGGTTGCAGCAATGGAGTTCTGAGGGTATGTTTAGGCTTCAGGGTTTAGGGTTCGGGATTTGGGGTTTGGGGTTTTAGGATTCAGGCTTCAGAGTTCAGGGTTTAGGAGGGTTTAGGGTTTAGGGTTTAGGGCTTGGGGCTTGGGGTTTAGGGTTTAGGGTTTAGGGTTTAGGGTTTAGGGTTTAGGGTTGAGGGTTTAGGGTTTAGGGTTTAGGGTTTAGGGTTTAGGGTTTAGGGTTTAGGGTTTAGGGTTTGGGGTTTGGGGTTTGGGGTTTAGGGTGGGTTTAGGCTGAGGGCTTTAGGATCCTTAGCTCTCTGAGCTGCAGGTGTTGGGGGGGGGGGGGGGGCTAGACCCTAAGCCCTAAGCCCTAAACCCTAAACCCTAAACCCTAAACCCTAAACCCTAAACCCTAAACCCTAAACCCTAAACCCTAAAACCTACCTTTTCAGAGTCGAAAGCTTCGAAGACCAGCTGCGGTGTTCACAAAGAGGTTCTTGGACGGCTCCTCCTCTTTGCTGTTGTCGAGATCGTTGTCCGCCTGGGATCGAACTTAGGCCCTAAACCCTAAACCCTAAACCCTAAACCCTAAACCCTTAAATGGGGACCCATTTTATACCCCGAAACAACCCGAGGACCCCTTTAAAGAAGGAAACAAATTCCAGACAGGGCGCCTGAGCGCTAAGGGTTGCCTAGGGATACTTTAGGGTTCTGAGGGTTTTTTAGGGGACTGTTTCAAGGTGACTAGGGTTATTTAGGGTTTGTTCGGGGGTCTCTGCACGTGCTACAAGCTGGAAAGTCGTTCCGCATGTACCCTAAACCCTAAACCCTAAACCCTAAACCCTCTCAGAAGCTCTTTTGACTTAGTGAGTCTACTTAGAAACCTTCTCATCCCCATCACCCGCTTTGCTAACCACAAACCCGAAAACCCTAAAACCCTAAAACCCTAAAACCCTAAAACCCTAAAACCCTAAAACCCTAAAACCCTAAACCCTAAACCCTAAACCCTAAACCCTAAACCCTAAACCCTAAACCCTAAACCCTAAACCTACTTACGAACCCTACTTGCTAACTCAAAAGGGGTGCGAGGACTCAGCTTGCAACATAGAATGCGTAAGCACAAATTCGGTTTAGAAACCCTAGAAAAGCCCTAAACCATGTCCTAAACCCTAAACCCTAAACCCTAAACCCTGCTAAACCATACGGAAGCGGACCCGTTGGCATGAAGGCTCGAAGGCCGCAAAACACGCTGGGCTGATGAGAATCGCGAGGGACCTACGCCTGCGTCAGGGTTTAGGGTTTAGGGTCTAGGGGTTAGGTATAGGGAAAAGAGTATAGGGTTTAGGGTTCAGGGTTTAGGGTTTAGCGTTTAGGGTTCAGGGTTTCAGAGTTCAGGGTTTTAGCGACCTAGGGGTTTCGGGGCTTGGGCGTTCAAGGCCTAGTGTACTTCCGCCCTCCCTCGACAACCCTGCCTAGACACTATCTGACATGGCATAAACTGGTCTCTTCCAGCCGACTTCCAACACCGCGTCTCCCCAGGGTCGAATCAGAGAGTGGCTGTTTTTCACTTGCTGACTGCAGAAGGTGGACGTCGGAGTTGCTTTGCTCTCCACCTCCAGCTCTTTCCTTCAAGGTTGCGTCACGGGCCGCGGGCCCTGAACGTGGCGCGGTGCATGACCTTCGCGGCCTTCTGACTCAGCCCGTGCGCATCACCGTGAAGACCACACCGAAGGTCCCCTTGCCTAAGGCTTTCTGCCCTGGCACAGCAACTCAACACTGCGGCTGCAGTAACCTTAAACCCTAAACCCTAAACCCTAAACCCTAAACCCTAAACCCTAAACCCGGGAGGGTTTCGGGCTTAGGGTTTCTGGGCTTGGGCAGCAGCAAGCCGAAGGGCAACTGCCACTTAAGTGCACGTCATTAGGGTAGTCGCAAGGGCGCGCAATATGGGCCCTTCATTTGGGAACCCCTACATACCCCCCATACACGTACTTCAGAACCCTTTAAGCTCAGGGACCATATTCAGATTACATGTACTTGCCCTTAGTCCTTGATAGCGGATACTGGCGTCAGGGGATCCTACGTGGAGTCGGGGGACTTTGTAGGTAGTAGTGTTGGAAGTACCTCAGGTCCTTCTGGGTTTTCCTACTTCGTAAGACTACTACATAACCCCCGAATCCTCCATGTATACTACACCCCGAACCCAAAACAAGGCCCAATTGAAGCCATAAATTCCAAACCCTCCACCCTCTGACTAGAAGGTGTTAACATTATCAAGAGACCCAAAAAAGGGCCCACAGATTTTCCTCAAAGGAATCCAAAACCCTAAACGCATGTAAAGACAGATACCCGAATACGAATGTAACGAACAGAGAGCAAAACCCTAAACGCTACAGCCTAAAACCTAAGGAAGTATAACCTAAACCTTAAAAACCCTTCTACGGAACAGACCCCCCACAACAAGCTCGATCTTCTTCTCTTCGGTCACGGTACCCCGGTTCCAGCAGTCCCGGAACAAAAAACTACTTGTCGGGTTTGGCTCGTGTTTCGCACCCCTACGGACATAGCTTTGTCTTGTTGGTCCCTATAGACAAAACCTAAACCCCAAACCCGAAGCCCCAAAACCTAAACCCTAAACCCTGAACCCTAAACCGTAAACTCTAAACCCCAAACCCGTTTTAGTAGTGGCCCACAGCCCTGAACCAACCGCTTCCCACTCCGTGCAGGGCGCAGCCGCATTTCGGCGATGTGGAGGCACGTACGCCTTGAGGGCTTAAGGCTTAGGGCTTAGGGCTTAGGGCTTAGGGCTTAAGGCTTAGGGCTTAGGGCTTAGGGCTTAGGATATTGACTTTGGTGTCTTTTTTCCGGAGAACGTTTATGGAAGTTCTCTTGGTTTCTGCTCTTTTGATTACTGGAGAACCCTTGCAAGAGCTGTCGGGAAACCAAAATGTAGAATGTATAGAACTCATCATCTCTGGTTTTAGAGCTTAGGGTTTCGGGCTTGGGGTTTCTGGCTTATTGATCCATAAACCGTTTACGCTAAACCCTAAACCCTAAACCCTAAACCCTAAACCCTAAATAAGCTTTGAGGTTTGCTGTTTGGAGCTTCGAGTTGAGGAGTTCGCGCTTCGGTGTTGGGGTTTAGGGTTTAGGAGTTTAGGTCCTAAACCCTGAACCCTACAGAGCTTCGGTTCTTCAGGGCCCCCCGCCCCCCCGGTTTAGGGTTTAGGGTTTAGGGTTTAGGGTTTAGGGTTTAGGGTTTAGGGTTTAGGGTTTAGGGTTTAGGGTTTAGAGTTTAGGGTTTAGGGTTTAGGGTTTAGAGTTTAGGGTTTAGGGTTTAGGGTTTAGGGTTTAGGGTTTAGGGTTTAGGGTTTAGGGTTTAGGGTTTAGGGTTTAGGGCTACGCAACAGCTCGTATCGATGCCCCAGGCATCGCCCTAAACCCTAAACCCGAAAACCCTAAAACCCTCGGACTAAAAGACCTAGATGGCCAGCTTATTTTGTGGGGAGGAAGGGGGGGCGGGAGGTTTGCGGGTTTAGTGGTTTCGGGTAGCTTAGGGTAGTTCAGAGTTAGGGTTTAGGGTTTAGGGGTTGGGGTTAGGGGTTAGGGGTTAGGGGTTAAGGGTTTAGGGTTTGGGGCTTAGGGTTTAGGCTTTAGGGTTTAGGGCTGAGCTTAGGGGCTTAGGGGGTTGAAAATAAGTCTTCGGGGGAGCAGAGCGTCCTCGCGACCTAGGGTCTTGGGGTTTCGGGTTTTAGGGTCTTTGGGTGTAGGGTTTAGGGTCTTGTGGTCTAGGGTTTAGGGCTTTTTGGGTCTTGGGGTTTAGGGTTTAGGTTTCGGGTTTAGGGTTTGGGGTTTAGGGTTTAGGGTTTAGGGTTTCGGGTTTAGGGTTTAGGGCTTAGGGCTTAGGGCTTAGGGTTTCGGGCCATCCTTGCCACCTAGTGGCAGGCATTGCGGTGGTACTCGCCACTCCCACGTCCTAACTGTTGCTTCTAGCGGTCACCTCTCTTCCAAATTCAGCCAATGCTGCGGGGGCGAGCATCAGGCTGCGGGCTCCCCTAAACCCTTGAAAGCCTAAACTCGAGCCCTAGATCCTAAACCCGAAACCCCAAACCCTCCCACCCAACCCTCCACCCACACACCTTGAAACCCTCAACACCCCCACCGCCCTAATTCTCTGAAGCCTAAACTAGACCCTACACCGTAAGCCCGAATGCCCTGACGTCCTAAGCTCTCCCGCCAACCATGAATGAGCCGCTTGGGGCATTTAATTTCAGGGTTCAGCGCTTTTGTGGTTTTAGCTGTTGCTCTGGGCCCTGACCCTGACCCTGGCCCTAAAGCCTGAACCATAAAACCTGAAACCCTAAACCCTAAACCCTAAACCCTAAACCCTAAACCCTAAACCCTAAACCCTAAGCCCTGCACCCTAGACCGTAAACCTTATACTTACATGGCCCCTCAGTATGGGCCCTGAAACGGGGACCGCTTGTATACCCCTTGTTTACCCTTTTTCAACCCAAGGGCCCATGCTTCAGAAACCTTTGAAGAAGGTAAGGGATCATATTCAGGGCTCATGAAACCAAGGGTCAGGGTTTAGGGTTTAGGGTTTAGGGTTTAGGGTTTAGGGTTTAGGGTTTAGGGTTTAGGGTTTAGGGTTTAGGGTTTAGGGTTTTTAGGGTTTAGGGTTTTTAGGGTTTTTAGGGTTTTTAGGGTTTTTAGGGTTTTTAGGGTTTTTAGGGTTTAGAGGGTTTAGGGTTTAGGGTTTAGGGTTTAGGGTTTAGGGTTTAGGGTTTAGGGGAACCCTAAACCCTACACCCTAAACCCTGAACCATGTTAAGTTTCGGGCTCTTAGCTGCTTGTGGCTGTCGCAATCTGGGGGCTGGTCGGAGCACGCACACAAGCCCCAATATCAGTGTGCTTCTTTGGGGGAGGCTCGGGGCTTTGGAGTTTGGGGCTTTATGGCAACCAAGGTAGACCCCCCAACCCTAAACCCTAAACCCTAAACCCTGAACCCTAAACCCTAAACCCTAAACCCTACAAGGGGTTTGGGGTTTGGGGTTTGGGGCTCGGGGTGTGGGATTTGAAGCTTGGATTTTGGGGGCAGTTTTATTTTCATTGTTTTTTTGAGTCTTTTTTTGGGGGACGCCATAAACGATAAATCTGTCTGGCCACATAGGGTTAGGACCCATCGAGCTTAGAAATGATCTCCCAGTCAGACCGGTCTACCTAGAAACCCAAACGCAGAACCCTCAACCCACCCTAAACCCTAAACCCTAAACCCTAAACCCTAAACCCTAAACCCTAAGGGCTTGAGGGGTGCGGGCTCAGTTGGATGCAGCTGGAGTTCGCCGGCGTCCATGCTCTCGATCTTCTTCTGCATCTCGCTCTGGGTTTAGGGTTTAGGGCTCAGGGCTTAGGGTTTAGGGCTTAGGGCTTAGGGCTTAGGGCTTAGGGTTTAGGGTTGGCTTCGTGCTGGTTCCGACGAAGTACTCATCCACCGTCCTGTCGTATTTCCAAGGGCGCAACTTCTGGCAGTAGCCGACGATGCTGGCGATCCCGAGGCATGATGTAAGCCAGCCTCTGTACCAAAGCAGCTAGGAAACTTCGAGTACGCCCCACTCTTCTGCATTCGTCCTTCCGTTGCACAAGCCCTAAACTCTAAACCCTAAACCCTAAATCCGAAGGCCCGAACCCTAAACCCTAAACCCTAGACCCTGCACCCTAAACTGTCAACCCCAGTGACCAGGGAGGAACGCCTTCGGGTCCAGAAACTTCTTGTTCCTGAGGTTCGAGTTTAGGGTTAAGGGGGTTTGGGGGTTCAGGGGTTTAGGGAAAAGGGTTTAGGGTTTGAGGGCTTTTGGGGCTTTACACTGCAGGGGTTTGCGAGTTTAGGGGTTAGCGCGGGCAAAACCACGTGAAGGCCAACATGAGTCCCTAAAATCCTCAGCAGGTTTTGGGTTTGGGGTTTGGGGGGTTAGGGGTTTAGGGTGTATAGGGTATAGGGTTTAGGGTTTAGGGTTTAGGGTTTAGGGTTTAGGGTTTAGGGTTTGAGGGGTTAGGGGTTGTTTAGGGTTTGGGGTGTATAGGGTTTAGGGTGACACCTTCAAACGCCTTCACACCCTAAACGCGATAAGACATGCCAGACTCCATTGTTTTTTCGATCTAATAATAGGAAAGATCTAAAATCAAAAGGAACAGGGCTAGTAAAACCAAGTTCAAAAAGAATAAAATCATTCAGAAGTGCCTTCTCTCTGGGTGGTCGTGGCAACAAACTAAACGAAAAAGAACTACTGTTTAACTAAAACCTGTGTAGTCCTCAGGTAGCCTATGTCCTAAAATAAACACGGCTTGCAGCTAAACGATGTAATTACTCGATCGTTCCGGGAAAAGTTGTTTTTTGTCGGCCTTCATCTTGAAACTCCTGGAAAAAGGTTGTTTTTTGTCGGTCTTCATCTTGAAACTCCAATGTTTTGCAACCCGCAGCAAGCCTCGACTGCCAAGCGCCGTTGCGGTTGGATCGAATCTCAGGGGCCTCGCTGACCGAGAGGTTGCGCCTGGGTTTAGGGTTTGGGAATTTCGGGTTTCGGATTTCAAGGGTTTGGTTTGCGGTTTAGGGTTTGGCGTTTAGGGTTTGCGGGTTTCGGGCTTAGGGCTTGGGCTTTAGGGTTTCGGGTTTCGGGTTTAGGGGCTTCTAGAAAGGGTATGTATGAGGGCACTAAGGGGTATATGAGGGCTATACGAGGGGTGTATGCACCCATCTGAAATGGGCCTACACACTAAACCCTGTTTAGGGTTTAGGGTTCAGGGTTTAGGGTTTAGGGTTTAGGGTTTGGGGTTTAGGGTCTAGGGGGTAGGGCTTAGGGTTTAAGGTTTTCTTTTAGGGTTAGGGTTTAGGTCTTTAATGGTTTGGGTTTAGGGTGTACGGTGATCTGGACTTTTTTGGGGGGGGCAGGGGGTCGTTCGGGGTGCGGGAGCATAGGACTCCGTATGATTGAAGCTCATTCAAACTTCGCCCACCCTTCACCCAAACAAAACAATAACAAATCTGCACCCAAAATACCCCCCAACTCACCCCCTTCAACGCAAACATGACAATATTTTACAAAACTGAAGCACCACCTTTCCAAATAAACAATAAAAACAAAAAAAAACTTACAAAACATAGCAGGAAGAAAGCGGCAAAGAAAGAAACCAGACCCAAGCAGATCCTGTAGCCCAGCTGCAAGTAGGCAACCAGCGCCGCATTGATGGATGCGGCCTTTTTCAGGGTTTAGGGCTTAGGGCTTAGGGTTTAGGGTTTAGGGTTTAGGGTTTAGGGTTTAGGCTTTAGGGTTTAGGGTTTAGGGGTTTAGGGTTTAGGGTTTAGGGTTCAGGGTTTAGGGTAGTTACATGGTCTCTTAGTATGGGCCCTCAATTGAAGGGGAAACCCTGAGGCCCATACTTCACAAGCCTTTCAAGAAGGCTAGGAAGCAGACTAAGGGACCATGTAACTTCCCTTACCCCCTGAACCCTAAACCCTAAGCCTTAAACCCCAAACCCCAAACCCTAAACCCCAAACCCTGCATCGTCAGGCCTAGGCCCCGACCTCAGCCTAGGGTTTAGGGTTTAGTAGGGTCAAACCCAGGATTGATAGGGGTTTGGGGTTTAGGGTTTAGGGCTTAGGGCCTGGGGTTTAGGGCTTGGGGTTTAGGGTTTAGTTTATGAGCGTCCCCGCAAAAACAGGGAAGAAGGGCACTACTGGGCATCCCAGCAGGGCTTAGGGACTCAGGGTTTGGGGGGCTTAAGCTAAGGGCTGAGGGGCTAAGAGGCTTAGGGGCTTAGGGGTTTAAGGTTTAGGGTTTAGGGTTTGGGTACTTAAAGTATGTTAATCTTGGCGTGCGGTGCAACAGTGGGGTTTCCATCGTCTGGTAACTGAACGCAATCTGGTAGATCTTGAGCCCGACCCTGAATCACCCGGAGACACACCCTAAACCCTCAATCCTAAACCCTAAACCCTAAACCCTAAACCCTAAACCCCCTCAATCCCGAATCCTCAGCCCTCACACCTAGGCAGCCGGTGGGCGCGGGGTGCTACTCCCTCTGCAAACGCTAAACTACACCCAAAGCCCCTACGTAAACAACCCAAGTAAACCCGACGCCCTGAATCCTCTAGCCCTAAACCCTAAACCCTAAACCCTAAACCCTAAACCCTAGGAACCCCAACGAGCACCTGGGGATTTTCCTTGGCAAGGACCTGCAGCGGACAGAGATTCCAACACCCCTGAAGCAAGCAGAAGCCTCAAATCGAGGTTTCTGTGGTTAGGGTTCAGGCTTTAGGGTTACCCTAAACCCTAAACCCTAACCTCAACCCTAAACCCTAAACCCTAAACCCTAAACCCTAAACCCTAAACCCTAAACCCTAAACCCTAAACCCTAAACCCTAAACCCTAAACCCTAAACCCTAAACCCTAAACCCTAAACCCTAAACCGCCTAAACCCTAAACCCTAAACCCTAAACCCTAAACCCTCAACCCTCAACCCTAAACCCTAAACCCTAAACCCTAAACCCTAAACCCTAAACCCTAAACCCTAAACCCTAAACCCTAAACCCTAAACCCTAAACCCTAAACCCTACACGGGGTTTAAGGCTTGGGGTTTGCAGGGCTCGGGGTTGAGGATTTCCTGAATTGAGGGTGCATATTGGCATTGGCTTATATCTAAAGTTTGGGGTTTGGAGTTCAGGGTTTTGGGGTTTAGGGTTTAGGGTTTAGGGTTTAGAGTTTAGGGTTTAGGGTTTAGGGTTTAGGGTTTAGGGTTTAGGGTTTAGGGTTTAGGGTTTAGGGTTTAGGGGGTTGCGGTTTGAGGCTGATGCTGGTTGAAATGCGAACCCAGGTTACGCAGATGGGCCGCAACGTGGAGAACTGAACATCATGCAACCCAAACAACCTCCAAACCCCAATTTCAGCCTCGCGGGACTAAAACAAAGCGCCCGAAACCAGAAGAACCCAACAGCCTCAAGCTAGGGTTTGAGGTTTAGGGTTTGGGGTTTAGGGTTTAGGGTTGCCGACCTTGGCGGCGTGCTGGATGGGTTTGGGGAGCTTACACCCCCAAAACTGCACCCGTGGGCAGATTGGCCGGACGCTCTTAAATAAACTCCAAACCCCTCACAACCCTAAAGACCCCCAAAGCCGACTCACAATCCTAATCCCTAAGCCCTGACAAAAACCCCAAACCCTATCCGGAAACTTAGAGCTTCGCGATGGTAGGCCAAACCCTAAGTCCCAGAAAGCTTGGCGTTTGGCGTCGATACAAGGTATAGGCGTTCGGGTTTTTGGGGGTTCGGGGGTTTGGGGTTATATAAGTGTTTGCCGGGGTTTGGGATTTAGAGCTTCCAGTTGAGGATTTGGGGGTTTTTTAGCTTGCAGTTACGGGTTTGGGGTTGGGATGTTCCCCCTTTTACTAACAGTCCTTAATAGGGATTGTAACTGGTGGTACTATGGTCCCTATTCATGACTGTCAGAATAAGGGGGAACATCCCAACCCTAACCCTAAACCCTAAACCCTAAACCCTAAACCCTAAACCCTAAACCCTAAACCCTAAACCCTAAACCCTAAACCCTAAACCCTAAACCCTAAACCCTGTTAGTACAAGGGGGATCATCCCCCAAGTTTGGGGTTTCGGGTTTAGGGTTTAGGGTTTAGGGGGTTTAGGGGGTTTAGGGGGTTTAGGGGGTTTAGGCGGTTTAGGGGGTTTAGGGGGTTTAGGGGGTTTAGGGGGTTTAGGGGGTTTAGGGGGATTAGGGGGTGTAGGGGGTTTAGGGGGTTTAGGGGGTTTAGGGTTTAGGGTTTAGGGTTTAGGGTTTAGGGTTTAGGGTTTAGGGCTTAGGGTTTAGGGTTTAGGGTTTAGGGCTTCTGTCAGGTGCCTGTGTGCCCCAGAGCCACTGCAGCTCTGGCGTGGCCTCTCTGCTGATGCATGCTTGGTTGGTCGGGTTTCGGGGTTTAGGGTTTAGGGTTTAGGGTTTAGGGTTTAGGGTTTAGGGTTTAGGGTTTAGGGTTTAGGGTTTAGGGTTCAGGGCTAAACCCTGAAACCGCAATCCTTGGAGCTCACCAAGCATTCTCAAGAGGCGGAGTCAACAGCGCTGTCATTGGTGAATGTATCTGAAGTAGAGTCCCTACATACCTAAGTCGCCCCCAAATAACCCCCAAATAACCCCTAAGGTCCCTTATAAGGGTCTCTTCTTAAGTCCCTTGAAACTATACTTAGGGATGATATCAAGTAGGGTTTAGATTTCTTGTACCCCCACAATGACACCAAGTATACACACTCACCAATATTTAAAAGGAACCTTATTTACACTCACCAATAACAGTAATGGTGAGTGAAAATATTATGGGCGCTTACGAAAATAGGGGCCCAAGTAGTCAGATCCCCTTTAAACAACCCGCCGCCGCTGAATCCGCACGTCGTTTTTTGTCGAAACAAGCGTTTGGTGTAGGCAAAACGGTATTCGTTGAGCTTAATTTGTAAACGCGAATTCGTCTTTAATTTCAAAAAAACGCTGTTTTTTTCGAGGTTTCTGCGCGCGCGTTTCTTGGTATCTATTGAGGTGCACATCGTGTTCGGGCTTACAGGTGTTGTTTTGGGTTGCACTGTGGGTTGTCTTCTCTGGATGTTTCATGGGTGCATGATCTTTTGGCATTGCAGTACAGCACTATTGAGGTTTGGGAGTGGTATTGTTTAGGGTTGAAGCTTTGAAGAGTTGAAGGGTTTTAGGAGTTGCAAGTGTTGCAAGTTTCTGCACTACGGCTTTCTTGTGGGCCGGGGGATCTAAAGGGACTTAGGGGGCTAGGAAGCTTAAGGGGACTCAGGTGGCCTCGGTGGCTAAAGGGAAATTCGGGCATCGCAATCATGGTCGATGTGGTGTTATAATAAAGTGCTCTTTAAGAGGAACTCGTCTATGAAAAGAAGAGTGTCTATGAAAAGAAGAGTGTCAGTGAACTTCGCACAAACATCTCTTCCGTTGAGGCCAGAACGTAATTATCCCCCCCCCCCCCCCCCCCCCCCCCCCCCCCCAACCCGGGACCAACCCTAAAACCTTGTGCGGTTGTAGCGGCGCTAGCTTAAACAAGGACCACAAAAGGTACCCCAAATTCGGAAACCGCCATATATTGGGTCCTTTTGAAATGCTAGCAAATCCTAGACCCTCAGCCCTAGACCCTATATACACCCTTAGCCCTAAACCCGAAAATGCATTTCCATAAGGCTTGTCTCTGAGGCCTGTCTACAAGGGCACTTAGGGTTTAGGGTTGCGGGTTTAGGGTTTAGGGTTTAGGGTTTAGGGTTTAGGGCAGACGGTTTGGAGTGCACCCAGAACCCTACAACTCAGAAACAAAGCCCTAAACCCCCATGAAGACCCTCAACCCTCAAACCCACAACCCGAAACCCTAAACCCTAAACCCAAAACCCTAAACCCGAAACCCTAAACCCTAAACCCCTTCAGTCCAAAGGTGGACACAAAGCTTGCCTCTTGCCAGCGTAGCATACAAGCTTGGGCACTAGACCCTGACCCCGAAGCAACACTAAACCCGATAAACCCCATGAGACGGGAAAGCCGACATCCGCAACCTAAACTCTAAACCCTAAACCCTAAACCCTAAACCCTCCTCGTGTTAATCCCTTTTACCACAAAAGAACAACCTTGCCCAGGGCCCCTGCAGCCGCCGGAACGAGGCCACACAGCACCCAGCGCAGGCGCATGGCGCCCGCATGGGGCAGGCAAGCGTTAGGGGTTCTGGGAATTTGTGTTTAGGGGTGCAGGATATATGGAATTTAGGGTTAGAGTCAGAGATTAGGCAGCGAGGGCTTCAGGGTCTGGGATGTAAGGTCTAGGCCTTCTCGACGTCATGTACAAGAAGTCCACAGAAAAGGCGCGTGCAAGTCGCATCGCCTTCACATGTGGCGCAGAGGCTGCGCACAGAAGTCACGCAAGGGACGCACAGAAGGCGCCTGAAGTCGCGCAGGGGTCACACAACCCTAAGCCCTAAACAAAAGCACTTAAGAGGTGCAAGGAGGTCACGCAAACATCAAAAAGTTCACACAGAAGTCAGGGAGTTGCGCCCCAGGACAAACGGGTGGGTTCAGGGTTGAGAGCTCAGGGTGAGCACTTCGTTGAGGCGTTCGGTTGTGGGATGTACACAGCGAGGCATTTAGGGTTTAGGGTTCAGGGCTTAGGGTTTGGGCTTTAGGGTTTAGGGGCTGAGGGGTTTAAGGCTAGGGTGCATCTTGTGACATAAGCTTCCTTTGCAAAGATCAACCCACGAAAGCTAGGGATCCCCGCCCAAGAAGCTTCTGACTAGGTGGGTTTCGGCTCCTCAAAAACTTGAAGGTGTTAGAACTTACAGTTTTAAGGCCTTAGGACCTTGGCGTGCTGTTGTTGCTTTCGTGCCTAGGGTTCAGAGTTCCGAAGCTATAGTTCTAGATGCGGGGTTTACTACAATAGATGTGGTCGCGAGGCCCAATGACACGCCCAAATTGAAGTGCGGGAGGGCAAAATGCAACAGGCGCGCCTGCTCTTTGCAAATGCAGATCGAAAAACTGCGCATGTTCAGCCCTGGGCGAGGTCAGCCACATTGCAGGCCAACTATCCAACAGGCGAGTAACTCAAACCAGGAAAATGCACTGCTTAGCAGATACATTCTTATCTTTGAACCATGAAAAGCTTTGAGCACAAGGCGATGGCGAAGATGTGCACTCATATTTTGTTTACGACCTGCGCTTGGACTTGTATGACGTCTGCTGGCATTTCCTGTTGCTCAGGAGGAGGAAGGCCGTCCTTCTTCCAGTGCCGTTGCCACACTGAGCTTATGCCCATACAATTCTCCACCTCCACTTCGCCACCAGCCGCATCAAGTTTTTTCAACATGCCTCCAGCGTAGTCGATGTAGATTTCTTGGTTGGGGCCCCTGAAGAAATGAAATTGCTCTTTGAGAGGCACGTTGGGGACTTCTGCTTGGTAGCGATCCCCATGAGTATCAACATAGCCCAGCTTCTTGCCGCCCGACCAAGTAATGTGATTGTCTTTCACCACAACATCTTCATACCTTGAGCACTTTCCACTTCCCTTCCAAGCAATGATTTTCCAGCTGCCTTCCAGTTGTTTCAGTAGATCCTTTGTTTCATCCTCTTGAAAGGCCACGGAATTCGTGGGAATCCCACGTACCTTTGGCAGATCTGGTTGGCAACAACATGGAGTCCCCTCTGGGTAAGGCGGCCGCTGAGTGAAGGGAACATCGGAGTACACGGGGGCTGTGAGCCCGTCTTTCCCCAAGACATTTCTCATCTCCTCAAGCCCCCACATGGCAGAGGGCCCGAATGGCCTAAGGGGAACGTTTAGCGGGCACGGCCTTGAGCTTGTCTTGCGACACACCCATGTTGCAGGGCTCAGCTGTGTTGCACGGAAAACATGTTGGGACATGTCAAACTCAAGCGACCTCACCCTGAAACAGCCAAGTAGACCCCACACCGTTGGCCGCTCAGGTTTGCGGACTTTGAGGTTTCGGGTTTTAGGGTTTAGGGTTTAGGGTTTAGGGTTTAGGGTTTAGGGTTTAGGGTTCAGGGCCCAGGGTTAGAGCCCTAAACCCGAAACAGGGGCTTTGGGCTTGGGGATTTCTGAGGCCTTGCCCACGGACACTCAAAGTTAGAAGGTAGCAGCTCGTGCGCAGTAGATGCTGCGCGGTAGACCCTAAACCCCGATCCCTAAATCCGGTTTAGGGTTTAGGGTGTAGGGCTTAGGGTTTAGGGTTTAGGGTTTAGGGTTTCGGGTTTAGGGTTTAGGGTTTAGGGTTTAGGGTTTAGGGTTTAGGATTTAGGTTTTAGGGTTTAGGGTTTAGGGTTTAGGGTTTAGGGTTTAGGGTTTAGGGTTTAGGGTTTAGGGTTTAGGGGCGCGTTGCAACCCTGCATCCTTTTACGCGACACTTGACGGGTTCCAGCAAAACTTGCGCCCATCTTCACTCGACAAGTCCTCGGCTGAGCAGCCCAAGAAAGACTGGTGCCGCTGCATAGGGCTGTTGAGGGTTTAGGGTTTTTTAGGGTTTTTAGGTTTTTTAGGTTTTTTAGGGTTTCTAGGGTTTTTAGGGTTTTTAGGGTTTTTAGGGTTTTTAGGGTTTTGGGTTTTTTGGGTGTAGGGTTACTGGTTGAAAGTTTGGGGTTTTGAGTTTAGAGTTTAGAGTAGGGAGGCCTAGGGCCTGAAACCACGAAACCTAAACCCCATCAAACTCTAAGACCCCACAAGCCCAAGGAAACCTAAACTGCCTAAACCCTAAACCCTAAACCCTAAACCCTAAGCCCCTAAAGCCTAAAGGGTTTAAGGGCTTGGGGTTTGTGGCGTCGAGTTGGTTTCAGCCTGGCATTAGCCGCTTGGGGGGATGAGGGTTGGGGGTTTTGGTGCCTAATCCCTCCGCTTCTTAGGGTTTAGGGTTTAGGCTTAGGTTTTCGGGTTTGGGGTTTAGGTTTTGGGTCCGCCGACCCTGGCGGCGTGTTGGATGGGAAAAGGAGGTGAAAACCTCCCTCTTTCCCCCCTACCCCCCCCCCCCCCCCAACCCCCCCCAACCCCCCCCCCCTCCCCCCCCCCCCCCCCTACCCCCCCCCCCACCCCCCCCTACCCCCCCCCCCCCCCCCTACCGAGCTGGCTTCAGCTCCTGTTTGGGTCCTGGTGCTACCCCCTACCCCCCCCAACGTTTCACAGAGGCTCAAGCAAATCAACTTTTGGCATCCTTTGAGCTGACGAGCGCGTTTAAACCTTTCAACTATGCTCCAGCGGGGTCGACGGCTTGAGCCGGAGGCTCTTAAATTTTGGGTTTAGGGTTTTGGGTTTTGGGTTTTGGGTTTAGGGTTTAGGGTTTGGGGTGCCAGCCCTAAACCTTCAACCCCAAACCTTCTAGACCCCAAACTCGAAACCCAAGCGATAGTTCACTGAAGGGCATCCATCCGCCGCATCTGGTCGTCAGACAAGGTGAAGTCGAAGATGTTGGCATTCTGCTGAATTCGCGCCGCGTTGCTGCTTCGTGGAATAACCAAGAAGTCCTGGGGGCTTAGGGTGTGGAGATCAGGGATTTAAGGTGTGCAGAGTAAAGGGCTCAGGGTGTAGAGTTCAGGGTTCAGGGGTCCTTTGGGACATTTGGTGCGCTTCGTTTTTGCGGGCCAAGATGCCCCCAAAGTTCTCCTCCCTTCATGAAGCTGTCTTACGGCATCACCCTGAGTTCCCCTTGACTTTGGGGAACCTCGGGGGTGGGGTAACACTCTAAACCCTAAACCCTAAACCCTAAACCCTAAACACTAAACCCTAAGCCCACTCGCAACTCTCTCCTGCTGCAAGCCCCAGCGCAAGATAACCTGCGCTGGCGCTCGGCTGACTTCCTTCGCAACGGCGTTGACCACGGGATGCTCAAGAAGCAGCCTCGTAGGGTTTAGGGTTTAGGGTTTCGGGTTTAGGGCTTAGGGCTTAGGGTTTAGGGTTTAGGTTTAGGGTTAGGGTTTGGGTTTAGGGTTTAGGGTTTAGGGTTTCGGTTTCGGTTTCGGTTTAGGGTTAGGGTTTAGGGTTTAGGGTTTAGGGTTTAGGGTTTAGGGTTTAGGGTTTAGGGTTTAGGGTTTAGGGTTTAGGGTTTAGGGTTTGGGGTGTCGGGTTTAGGGTTTGGGGTGTCGGGTTTAGGGTTTAGGGTTTAGGGTTTAGGGTTTAGGGTTTAGGGTTTAGGGTTTAGGGTTTAGGGTTTAGGGTTTAGGGTTTAGGGTTTAGGGTTTAGGGCTAGGGCTTAAGGTTTCGGGCTTCAGGCTTAGGGCTGAGGTGCAACGCAGCGAGCTCCTATCGGAACCTGCATCGGCCCCAAACCCTGAGCCGAGACTCCCTAGCTCTACACCACAAGGGGCGTTCTACGCTCAGGGTTTAGGGTTTAGGGTTTAGGGTTTCGGGTTTCGGGTTTCGGGTTTAGGGGTTTATATAGGGGTTTAGGGTTTAGGGCTTAGGGCTTAGGGTTTAGGTTTTAGGGTTTAGGGCTTAGTGTTTAGTTTTGGGTTTTGGTGGCGCAGAAGTGAAGGTTGGGATGCCAAGTAGTCTCGAAATGCGAAGGCAGCTATGGCCCGATTGCGGAGGACCATCTAACACTTTCCTCCCATCCCACGCCATCTCAGGCGGCAAATTCACGGGCTTAGGCCTAAACTCACCTCAACTGTCTGCTTCCAAAACTTCCTCCGTCCAGGGGTTTAGGGGCTTCTTTCACAAAGTCCGGTGGGGGGGGCGGGGGGGGGGGGGCGCCCCAGGATTCGGGCGTAGTGCCGATTCCATCAATAAATAACACAGATTTTGATGGTAACGACCCCATGACTTTCCAGTTTCTGCCAATCCAGAATATGGTCAATTTTGGTGTCAACTGGAACCCCAAACTAAAGTCGATTCAGAAAATTTCCAAATGCGCAGCCCAAAATGAGGTCAACATTTTGGGCACCGGGCCTGATTTGGGTACCAACCCTAATTCCACAGCCCAAAATATTTGGTACCAACCCTGATGCCCAGCCCAAAAGAAGGTGTTATGGGGTACCAACCCCAATGCCCAACACAAAATAAAGGATCCTTTGGGTGGGTGGGCATTTTTCCAAAGCTCGACAATTGCTTGACTAGAAAAAGCTAGAATATTGAACCCTAAATCATAAACCCTAAACCCCAGCCAAAGTTTCAGGGAAGTCCAAGAAAGCCCCAGGACTTTGGGATTGCAGGGCTTGGGGTTTAGGGTTTGGGGTTTAGGGTTCAGGGTTGGGGTTTAGGGTTTAAAGCCTCGATTAAAAGCCAAGGAAAAGAAGGGTACGCCACTGAGCGTCCCAGGTGGTCTCAGGTAGGGGGAGCCTCGACAACCTTGCCTAAGCCCTACGCCCTAGACTCCAAACCCTAAGCCCAAACTCGACACCCTACACTCCAAACCCGAAAGACCCTGGACAAACCTAAACCCTAATCCCTTGACCCCAAACCAAAGCCAAACCCTAAATCCTGAAACACCCCCAAAAGGCCTGGTGCCATCCACTTCGCCTCCGGAGGCCTTGCCCACGTTGCTTGCCGGGCCGCCACCCAAGGGGGCGTACGCCTGCGAGAAGAGCTTCGAGTGCTTGGGGTTTGGGGTTTGGGGTTTAAGGTTTGGGGTTTAGGGTTCGGGGTTCGGGGTTCGGGGTTTGGGTTTGGGGTTTGGGGTTTGGGGTTTGGGGTTTGGGGTTTGGGGTTTGGGGTCTGGGGTTTGGGGTCTGGGGTTTTGAGGTTTAGGCCTCGAACGGCTTAAAAAGTGCGCAAGTGTTATGGCCCCCTTTCGATGCAAGCTGCCGTTTTGTTTTTGTATTCCAGCACGGCTGCGAAAGTGTCACTCGAGGGTTGAGGGATGAGGATGCTGTGGGGGATTCTTAAGGCGTTTGCCCAAGGGCTTAATGGGGTTTAGAGGCTCGATTGGGTTGTAGGGTTGCTTCAGTGATTCTTCGGGTTTATCTGGGCGCTTCCCAAAATAGGGGTACATCATGTATACACAAAACATGGCAGCAATCTTCTTTAGAAGGGACCCCCTGAGATAGCCAATCCCTAACTAAGGTTCTTAGGGGTTGTTTGGGGCTGTCGAGGCTTCAAACCCTAAACTCCTAGCTGCTTTGCCGAGCCCAAGCCCTGCACGCGGTTTTGGGTTTAGGGATACTCTAAACCCTCAAGTGAGCAAGTTAAGTGAGCGAGCGCACGCAATGTAATAATATGAAGGTGTGAACCTTTGCTTTTCAAATAGATGACATTCAATCGCTGGTTCACCATAAACCCTCGATCAATTTGAGAAAGTCGGGCCTCGATCAAGATGTTGTGCTTTCGACAGCACTCCAGGGTCCTTGATGAGGGGATTAAGGATTTAGAGATTTAGGGTTTAGGGCTTGGAGGGTTTTAGGGCTTGGGGCTATTTCGGGCTTAAGGATTTGGGGTCTGGGGTGCAAGGTTTTAGGGCTCTGGGTTTGGGGTTTGGGGTTTGGCAACGTAGGGGTCCCAAAGGGGTACAGCACTTTAGGGCTTGGATTCCTGGCGGTTTAGGGTTATTTAGGGTTTGGCTTTGAGGGTTCAGGGTTTAGGGATTCCCGGCGGTGCCACTTGTGGTCAGGTTGGGGGCATCCAATGATAGCAACTGGTGGTGGTTTTGCTTGGGTTTGTGGGGGTCAGGGTCCAGAGCTGTAGGGCTTTCGGGTGGGGGCAAACCCTTCGACCCTAAAGAACACCCCCTAAAACCCCTCAACTACCCTGAAGCCCTTGTCGTTTGAGGCCACCAACTCCAGAACGACCTGCTGGCGAGCGTCGCGCGTGGGACGCACAAAGGATGGACTTCCTCGGCACCAGAAAGGGTATCGGGTTTTATAGCCCTTACACTAAAAAACCCCTGGACATACAACAAACTGCAATAACCCTAAACCCTAAACCCTAAACCCTAAACCCTAAACTGTCACAAAATGAGGGTAAGAACCTGGCCTGGGACAGGTTAGCGCACGCAAGAGTGTAAGGTTCAGCCCAACCCTTGCACGCGCTGATCTCCTGAATCCTCCCACCCAAACCCCCAAACCATCCGAGATGCGATCTGATTCACCATCGGCATGATGCTAGCCCCGTCCTCTGAGAGGTCCGTCGCAAAATCCGGTGTGGGCGGTTTAGGGTTTAGGGCTATATTGAGGGTTTAGGGTTTAGGGTTCGGGGCTTAGGGTTAAAAGGCGAGGGGCTGGATCACTATGCTGAGGAGGAGACATTTGTGACCCTTGATGAAAGGCTGATAGGGGATCTCTGAGCATCCTTAGCGGTCCACTAACTACGGTTACGGTGTCTAGGCTGGGATGTTCCCCCTTATACTAACAATCCTTGATCGTGATTAGAGCGTTGGCTAACAATTTGCTCGTTCCTAGGAACTCCAATGATTAGAGTACCCTCTATTATAATCCCCATTAAGGACTGTTAGTATAAGGGGAACATCCCATAAGGGGGGTTAGGGGTTTGCAGGCCCAGGGCTTGTGGCTTTCGGGGGTGCCAAAGATTTTGCAGGGTCGAGCAGTTTAAAACACAGTTCTGCTGCCGTGCCGGGGGGGAGGGGGAAGCCAAGGGCATCCTCTCAGGACCCCGCGTTTATGGTATCCCTAAACCCTAAACCCTAAACCCCAAAACCTAAACCCTAAACCCCAAACCCCAAACCCTAAACCCTAAACCCTATCGAGTCCCGACTCCCACCCATCTCCTCCACAAGCTGCTCCAGGTGCTCTGCCGTGAAGTTGCTGACGCCAATGGCTCGCACAAGGCCCTGCCTCTTAGGGCTGTGGGGTTTAGGGTTTGGGGTTTAGGGTTTAGGGTTTGGAGTTTAGGGTTTAGGGTTTCGGGTTTCGGGTTTAGGGTTTAGGGTTTAGGATTTAGGGTTTAGGGGTTAAAATTTCGATTTAGGGTTGAGGCCTTGCCTCTGTGCTTCATAGGGTCGTAGGTCTTTGGGAGTTTGGGACTTTGGACTTTTGGGCTCAAGACCCTAGGCCCTAAACCCTAAACCCTAAACCCTAAACCCTAAACCCTAAACCCTGAACCCTGAACCCTGAACCCTGAACCCTAGACCCCGAAACCCAAACCCTCACCCCTAACACCTAAAGCCCTAAAGAAGCCCTAAACCCTAAAACCCTAAACCCTAAACCCTAAACCCTAAGCCCTAAACCCTAAACCCTAAACCCTAAGCCCCTAAGCCCTAAGCCCTAAGCCCTAAGCCCTAAACCAGCCAAAGGCCTGTAGAGATCCTCCAGCGCTCGCCAGGTGTCATAGCGGGCTCTTCGGTGCTCGGGCGAGGAGTGCGGCTTCTTGGGGAGAGCCTGGGCGCTCCAAGCCCTAAACCTTTAGGGTTTAGGGTTTAGGGTTTAGGGTTTAGGGTTTAGGGTTTAGGGTTTAGGGTTTAGGGTCTCTAGGCCCCGAAGCCTTAAGCCCCTCAACCGCCCTAAGCCCCTAAATCCAAAAACCCCAAAACCCCCAGACCGTAAACAACTAAACCCCTGAACGTCTAAACCCCGAAACCCCTAAACCCCTAAACACGAAACACGAAGCCTAAACCCTGAACCCCTAAACCCTAGACCCCCATAGCTAAACCCCCTAAACCACTAAAGTTCAGGATGTTGCGGCTTCGGGGCTTCTGAGGAACCCTCAACCCGACTCCTGAGACCCTGCAACCTTGGGCCCTAAACCTTAAGGGGTTTAGGGTTTGGGGTTTTGGGTTTTGGGTCTAGGGTTTAGGGTTTCGGGTTCGGATTTTGGGGTTAAGGGGTTCAGGCCGCAGGGCTTAGATTCTTGAACCCTACCAGGATCACAAGGTATCAGGATTCAGGCGCCCTCTGCAGATCCTGCACCGAGGCCCGTGCATGTGGGGTTTAAGGTTTAGGGCTAGGCGGGGCCATAACAGACCCACGGGTTTTCGGCAGTTTAGCTCTGTTGCCCTCAGAATCCCCTGTAAATACCGATGTTTCCTGGGTTTCGCCCATCACCTCATCCCCGCAATTTTTATCCAAAATCATCGTGCAATTTTTTGGGCATCCGTAAACTGCACTGGTATTTGTGGGGTTTTGTGCACTACTTCGCACTTTCGACGTGTCCTAAACTAAGCCCTGTCTTGCTTGCATCCGCTTCTGCCCAGCCCTCGGTCTAAATAACACGTTTGCTTCACCATAGTTATAGAAGAGAGCATCATGGCCCAACCATGATGACGTCCATAGTCTAATCCGTTCTGGGAAGAGAGTATCCCATGGCCCAAGCATGATGACGTCCATGGTCGACTCTGTTCTGATGAAAAGAGAGCATCCATGGCCCAAGCATGATGACGTCCATGGTCTACATGTTTTCTGCACTGCCATGGCCCAACCATGATGACGTCCATGGTCTTCTCCGTTCTGGGAAGAGAGCATCCAGGGTCCAATCATGACGGTCTATTCTGCTCTGATGAGAAGAGAGCATCCATGGCCCAAGCATGATGACGTTCATGGTTTACATCGTCTAATCCGTTCCGAGAAGGTTAAACCTTCTTCTGGGTAGAAATGGCTGGAAGTTCTTGCTTTTAGGCACACTGGGGAGCAGAAAGGCGTCATTTCTCAACACTAAAGGCGGTGACCTAAGTCCTCCATCTCAGGTTTGTTGGTGGGGCCACAGTTTTGCGCGGGTCTGTTGTGGACCCGCCAGGGTTTAGGGTTAAGGGTTTAGGGTTGAGGGTTGAGGGTTTAGGGTTTAGGGTTTAGGGTTTAGGGCTTCGGGTTTATGAACCTGCGCATAAGTTGCTGAATTCTGCCGAAGCAGCAGGCCAGTGTATCAGATACAGGTCCAGGCATTTGCGACCTGCAGCGCAAAAGAAGCCGCAAGCTTCACGTACCAAAGCACCGCCCATGCGACAATGAACCCTAAACCCTAAATCCGATTAGCCCTAAACCCCAAACCCTGAACCCGAAACCCTAAACCCTAAACCCTGAACCCTGAACCCTGGGCTGCGCACCCAGCCGTTCCAGCGACTTGCGGCAGGCTTCCTGCGCTTTCTCGTAGCCCATCTCGTAGGGCGAGCACTTCGATGTCACGAAAACACCTCGCCAGGGGCTTCGGTTCATTGGGTTTGGGGCTAGGGTTTAGGGTTTAAAGTTTAGGGTTTAGGGTTTGGGGTTTAGGGTTTAGGGTTTAGGGTTTAGGGTTTAGGGTTTAGGGTTTAGGGTTTAGGGTTCAGGGGTTTAGGGCTTAGGGTTTAGGGTTCAGAGAATAAGAGGGCTCGCATGGTGGTTTCTGGCAGTTTGAGGTATAGGGGTCTAGGTTTGGGGGTTGAAGGGTGCGAGGACTCGTGGGAGAGAGGAGAGAGGAGTTGAGGGGGGAAATTGCCCACACCATGCACCCTAAACCCTCAACGGCATGCCTCAGAGGCTTTGGGGGGTTGAGGGTGGCTTGAGGATTGCGGGTTGCGGGTTGAGGGTTTAGGGTTGCGGGTTGTAAGGCAATCCAGGTTGGGGGGGGGGGGTTTGGGGCTCAGGAGCTTAGGGTTGGGGTTTGGGGTTTGGGGTTTGGGGTTTAGGGTTTAGGGTTTAGGGTTTAGGGTTTAGGGTTTAGGGTTTAGGGTTTAGGGTTTAGGGTTTGGGGTTGCAGGGTTGAGGGTTCAGGGGGGGGGGGGCATTGGGTATGCTCAGTTTGCTTGCTTTGGCAAGTGCCCATCAAAGTGCCAAGCAGGTCGTGGCTTGGTGCAAACAGGAGCCTACATGGAAACTTCCAATGATCCCCTGACAACCCAGTGCAGATTTTACGACAGAAACCACCTCAAATACCGTTCTACTTGCATAGACTCCTACATCTTGCCAAAATGGGTCGACCCTAAACCCTGGTCCAGGCGCCTGAGTCTTCGGGCCAGTTTTGCAGAGCTTGCCCGACAGCCACCTCATTCCTGGGTTTAGGGTCTAGGGTCTAGGGTCTAGGGTCTAGGGTTTAGGGTTTAGGGTTTAGGGTTTAGGGTTTAGGGTTTAGGGTTTAGGGTTTAGGGTTTTCGGGAGCTACCATCATGAGTTGAGGAAACAGACTGCTTACGATAAACCCGAACATTATGAGAACATAGTCTCAGCTATCCATAAGCCATGGGTTCCCCTACTACCCGCCTCCATGCTACCCCGCCTAGGTTCCCCCATAGTTAAGGCTATTTAGGGATAGTTAAGGCCAATTAAGGTTCTTGAAGGGGGGAACCTAGGGGGGGGTTCCCATGAATAATAAGGACTCAGGTTCTTGTAGATGGAAGCGGTGTCGATGAGGCGATAGCCTCGCACTGCACAGGATTCAAGACTAAGGCTTTCCCGCGTGGGTCTAAATGTGTTGGTCCATTTCTCGGGGCATCCTCTTTTGTCAAAGCCCTCGAACACCCAAAGGGACCACAATTGAGAGAACACTCACCCCTAAACCCTAAACCCTAAACCCCTAACCCTAAACCCTAAACCCTAAACCCTAAACCCCAAACCGCGCGGAGGAAGTTCAGAGCTTTATGGGCTGTGGGGTTCAAAGGATCTCGATGGCTCGAAGGTACCCTAGGGTACCCCCTCAAGGGGTTCCCTTTCTAAAGTCCCAACATGGAGTATGGAGTTTAGGGTTTCAGGTTTAGGGATTAGGGTTTAGGGTTTAGGGATTTGAGGTTGAGGGCAGAATGGGCGGGCCATGCGCCTGCATCGAGCGCTGCGGCTATGGCCTGCTCCTCAGGCATCAGGCTCAAGGGCGTTTAGTACGGTTTAGGGTTTAGGGTTTAGGGTTTAGGGTTTAGGGTTTAGGGTTTGGGGTTTAGGGTTTAGGGTTTAGGGTTTAGGGTTTAGGGTTTCGGGTTTCGGGTTTCGGGTTTAGGGTTTAGGGTTTAGGGTTTACGGTTTAGGGTGTTGAGCTTCTGAAACCCTAAGACCTGGACCCGAAATCCTGAACCGCGCAGAGCTTAACGTATATTGGGCACCCTGAAACCCCTACACCCTTCGGGCTTAGGGTTTAGGGTTTAGGTACACACCCTCCAAAGCCCTAGTCTCCTGCAGCCCTGAAGCCCAAGAAAACTAAACTTTTAAGCCCTACACCACGGCACCCCAAGCCCTAAACCCTAAACCCTACGTCCTACGCCCTAAACCCTAAACCCTAAACCCTAAACCCTAAGCCAGGCTTCGCAGGAGAGGCTTGTGCCGCTGGCCTCCGCATCCGGAGCCTCCAAAAAAAACAAAGGGTTCGAAGAGGCTTAGGACTTAGGGTTTAGGGTTTAGGGCTAGGGTTTAGGGTTAGGGTTTCGGGTTTGGGGATTAGGGTTTAGGGCTTAGGGTTTAGGGCTTGGGGTTGAGGGTTGAGAGTTTAGGGTTCAGGCAAACAATCACTCGGACGATCTCGAAGAAGCCACTTTGAAGGTTTAGGGTTTAAGGTTTCAGGGTTTAGGGAACCTATAAAGCATCAATGTGGCATCCATCTCGACAGCCTGCTCCACGGGGGCACAAAGGGATTAGGGTCCAATGGACCTGCAACTTGTAATCCCCTCCCCCTGGTGTCAAAACCCCCCTTACCCTCTAACAGCACATACTCCCCAATCAAGACTGGGCACATTGAATATTTGGGGGTGGGGGGGGGGGTATGTTTAGGGGAAGGGATTACAGCTGGTCAAAGTTCCGCTGTGGGTGCTGTTAGCTCGACGACACCTCGACTCGATGACCAGAGCCTAACCACGCAGTTCTTGAAATTCGGGTTTAGAGTTTCGAGTTTCGGCGTTAGGTTTTCGGGGTTGAGTTCCATGCTGGCGGGTGCTGCTTTGTCACAAAAACATGCCGCGATTCTCGGGCAGGGCCAGGAACTTGTCTTCGTGGCCAGGAGGGGGAACAAAGGCGTTGCTGCTGTCACGAAATCCAACGCAGAAACGGCGGCCAGACCTGCAGTGAGAAGCGCAAGTAAGAAGCTCGAAGCCCTTGGTGTGCTCAAGAGTTGCTACACTTGCTCAGAACCTAAATAACATCGAAGGAAAGAAGCGTGCGCAAGACAAGTGCTGAAGGAAGCTTGCACCGGTGGCATTACACGACATCTGCAAGGGCTCTCGCCACGGCGCCCGGTCCCCGCCAGGCGTCGCCGAGACGCTTTTTCGCTAGCTTTCAACAGCGGAGATCACCAGTCGCAAGCACGCACGTCCGGTGCTCATGACAAGTAGTGTCGCTATGATTTGCGCGGCAGCCAAAAAAAAAGATAAGGACGATCTGTGAGGTATCTCTTGCCTGAGGTCAAGAACGCGCAGACAAACATATGCTGCATTTTCAACTGCACAAGCATCCAGATGTCTTCCACCTGAGCTAAACAATCTCAAAGGTATAAAAAGATATTCATCATTGCAGTCATTACATCTTGACTTTATGCCAAAACCTGCCTCCACACAGATCGGGCAATCTTCGCTGCCTTGCGCTCCATAAACCCAGACCTGCAGCGCAAGGAAAATAAATGCTCCGTCGGCTGCACGAAACAATGCGAAAAAAACATTCAATAAGACGTAGACGTGTGTCGATACGTCGTCTCGGCAGACTGGGCAGCGCATTGCGAGCACTGCAGATGGGCACTCACTGCTCTGACTGTGATCCGAAAACTACGTGCTGTGGACTCAACCAGACAAAGTAGAGCATAAATGACAGACCGTCTGACATCTCACAGGAGCATTTTGTCTTATCTGATAGTTCGCATCTTGCGCGTGAAACACATACTCCTACGTGACCACGTCGAGGCTTTCAGATGACTTGACGCCGGTTGTGCCGCATCTTGCGTGCTCGTGGCGGGTTCAACGGAGAATGATGCTGTCTTTTCGATTTCGGAAGAGACTTCTTTGGCTGGTTTTTTGACAGCCATTTTTTTCAGGGCACTTCTCAGACTCCCTAGCCTTCACCAAAGGAAGACAAGCTTTGCTTTGTCTCTTTTGGGTGCCCTCCTGCTCTTCACAAAAACCTTTCCACGTCTTCTCAGACCACAAACTGCGTTTCACACTTCTGGCCAACAGTACTGCTTCCATCGTCAAAGTGGAAGTAGGGAAGCAAGTGGCCAAGTGATGCGCCAGAAGCTTAATGTAAGTGTAAAAACGCAGATTTGATTCCACAGTCGATCTGTGCAATGCCTGCGTGCTGCGATTCCAGGAATTGATCTCGTCGTGAAGCTAAGGGTTAAGGGTTTAGGGTTTAGGGTTTAGGGTCCAGGGTTTAGGGTTTAGGGTTTAGGGTTTAGGGTGTAGGGTGTAGGGTTTAGGGTTTAGGGTTTAAGGTTTAGGGTTTAGGTTTAGGGTTTGGGGTTTGGGGTTTAGGGTTTAGGGTTTAGGGTTTAGGGTTTAGGGTTTAGCGTTTAGGGTTTAGGGTTTAGGGTTTAGGGCTAGGGTTTAGGGTTTAGGGTTTAGGGACCCAGCAGCCGAAAGCCTAAAGCCGGGAAAGCCCGACAGCAAGCACCCTGAACTTCCCTAAGCCCGAAAACCCATCCGGGTTTAACCTTAAACCCTAAACCCTAAACCCTAAACCCTAAACCCTGGCCCCTAAACCCTAAACCCTGCGATGCCTGCAGCTGCCACGTCCCAAAACCAAGCCGCGGGATGTCGAGGCCGTTGTGGAGGCGAGCTGTGGGTAGGCCTGCGACTTGGGCTTCGGTGGGGCTTAGGGTTTAGGGTTTAGGGTTTAGGGTTTAGGGTTTAGGGTTTAGGGTTTAGGGTCTAGGGTCTAGGGTCTAGGGTCTAGGGTCTAGGGTTTAGGGTTTAGGGTCTAGGGTTTAGGGTTTAGGGTTTAGGGTTGAACATGATATCTCTCACTGGTTTCCCCACAAAAGGTAGGAATGTTGATAAGGAGGCCCATGCAGGGTTCAAGGTTCAGGGTTCAGGGTTCAGGGTTTCGGGTTTCGGGTTTGGGGTCTAGGGTTTAGGGTCTAGGGCTTGGGTTTCAGGGTAAAGCATGGTTCCTGAGCAACTTTGTTCGCCCGCTTGCAGATCAGAAGTAGCGAACGACACATTATGATGGAGGAATGCTAACACTTAAACCCCAAAACCCCCAAACCCAAAAGTCATATCGCAACGTCTCATGCGGCTCAAGTAACTGACTGCCGCAGGTGTAGCTGGAATGCTGCCACATACTGTCCGCTTGCCTGGGGGGGCGGTGGGTTTAGGGTTTAAGGGTTTTGGTGTGGGAAATCTGATTGCTCCTCTAGGGCCCTTGTTGCGCTAAATTCGTAGAACTGCTCTCTGGGACTGCAGTTGCGCTGGGCAGTGCGGCTTAAACAGTGGAAGCTTCTGAAATTCGGCTCCAGGACAGGGGAACTGTGGCAACAGCATCTTCACATGCAGTGACCTCCTCACAGGGTCCGGGCTTGGGTTGGGGTTGAGCAGCACCATGCAAGACGGCCCTTAACCCTTAAGGGTTTAGGGTTTAGGGTTTAGGGTTTTAGGGTCTAGGGTTTAGGGTTTAGGGTTTAGGGTTTAGGGTCTAGGGTCTAGGGTTTAGGGTTTGTTGTAATAGGGCGTAGATGCTGTGAAGGTTAGGATGCAGCAGAGGCTCGAATGCCTCGTCAGGTGCGAAGAGCAGCTCTGGCCCCATTGTGGAGGGCCAGCTAATACTTTTCTCCCGCCCCACGCCGTCCGAGGCGGCAAAACCACCCAAAAATATTCCTTTTAGGGTTTAGGCCTAAACTCATGACAATCGCTTACTTTCAAAAAAACCTTTCCGTCACCGATGGAGGTTTGAGGAGAGCCCGGCGTTTGTAGCACGGCTTTCAGTTGTGCTCCGGTACCGGGCCGATGGTGGGTGCTACCGACCTCCGAGCTGTGGGAGGCGGGCGAACGAGCTGGGTCGACTTGCGCCATCGAGGTTTCCTAACCCCCCACGAAAGTTTTGATTTGGTGGGCGTGTGGGAACTTCAGCAAATAAGGCAGCCCCCCAAAAAAGTTACACCCAAACCCAGCCCTAAAAACCAGAGCCTCAACGAAATCCTAAACCCTAAACCCTAAACCCTCAACCCCAAAACCTTAAACCCCTTCCCTGTTCAGGGCCCCTAGAAACCCCCCCAATGCTCTACCAAGCAGCTCGCAGCCCGATCTCGGAAAAGCTCCAGTCCGGGCATGTCCTCGCAGCCTGACACCGCGTCGGTTGGGGTTTCGGGTTTGGGGTTTAGGGTTTAGGGTTTAGGGTTTAGGGTTTAGGGTTTAGGGTTTCGGCTTCCAGGTTCCGGGCTTTGAGGGTCCGCAGGGCTCGGGAACCATGAGGAGTGGGGCTTGGACCATGGGACCCTTGTATCGTTTGAGGATGTAGGGTTGAAAGGTTACCCGCAGCACGTATGGTTTGCCCACATACATTGGTTGCCTGTATGGCCGGAAGACAGTGAATCCAAGAGTTAAGGAAAATTAACTCTGAAGTTAATTGACCGGCATCGGGCCGGCTCGACGCCCCTTAGGTCCAGCACAATTAACTCTCGAGTTAATTGCCTGTTAACGTCACGCGACGCAGCATGCCATGCCGGCAAGCTGCTCAAGGAAAACAATTACATCAGGATTTAATTGTTTCTGCTAGACGACCCCAACCCGCAGAAACAACTTAATCACGATTCAATTGTTCCCCCCTACCTTTCAACAATAAAATCACGATTTAATTGTTCCCCCTAGAGTAATAGTAATAGTAGTAGTAATAATAATAGTAATAATAATAATAGTAATAATAATAAGAATAATAAGAATAATAATAATAGTAATAATAATAGTAATAATAATAACAGTAATAGTAATAATGATAATAATCGGAATAATAATAAGAATAGTAATAAAAATAATAATATTAATCGTAATAGAAATAATAATAGTAATAGTAATAAGAGTAAGAGTAATACTAATAGTAATAGTAATAGTAATAGTAATAGTAATAGTAATAGTAATAGTAATAGTTAATAGTATAGTAATAGTAATAATAATAGTAATAATGATAGTAATAGTAACAGTAACAGTATAGTAAATAGTAAAAATAGTACTAGAAAAATAAGAAGAAGAAATAAGAATAATATTAATAGTAAAAATAATAATCGTAGGAATAGTAATAGTAATAGTAAAGTAATAGTAATAATAGTAATAGTAATAGTAATAGTAATAGTAATAGCAATAGTAATAGCAATAGTAATAGTAATAGTAATAGTAATAGTAATAGTAATAGTAATAGTAATAGTAATAGTAATAGTAATAGTAATAGTAATAGTAATAGTAATAGTAATAGTAATAATAATACTAATATTAATAATAATAATAATAATAAGACTAATAGTAATAGTAATAATAAGACTAATCGTAATAGGAATAATAAGACTAATAGTAACAGTAATAATAAGACTAATAGTAATAGTAGTAATAATAATAGTGCAATTAAATCATGATTTAATGGTGCAAACAGGTACCAATTAGCACAAGTATTTGCTACACCATTAACTCACGATTTAATTGTCTTCCAGTCAAACGCAAAGAAACACAATTAAATCACGATTTAATTGTGTTTTTGTAGGGACAAGGTATGTCGAGGTAGGTCAAAACCCAACCCAGAAGCAACAATTAAATCAGGATTTAGTTTTTTTCAACTTCTGGATTCATGGGTTTTCCCGTATGGCCTGCCCAGGTTTTAGGGTTTAGGGTTGAGGTTTGAGGGTGTAGGGCTGAGGGTTTAGGTTTTTCAGGGTTCAGGGTTTAGGGTTTTTAGGGTTGAAGGTTCTTTGGGTTTCGGGTAGTTTAGGGTTTAGGGTTTTAGGGCTTAGGGGGTTTTAGAATCTAGAGCTTTAAGGGTTTAGGGTTTTTGGGGTTTAGGGTTTTTCGGGTTTACGGTTTTTGTGACCTAGCGCGCGGGCACACATCGCGTATACGCACACTCGCGTCGCCAACTCCAGAGTTCGCGTCATGAAGTTGCGTGTCCTGTCAAGCCCTCCGGAGCGCTGAAACCTCGGCAGGGGCGCCGTTTTCGCATGTCGCAATGGGCCCCTAGAGCAATGGCGCGGGCAAACCACAAATACTGGCCGAAAGGTTAGGGACTAGGGTACCGGCGGGACAACTCTTCAGAGAACTGATCATGCGGAGACCCGCTCAGGGGCTATCTGAGGATCACGGATGGGGTCTTTGCCCCCTAAACCTCACACCCTGAGCCCTAAAACCCCTACATCCTCAATCCTAGCCCCCCCACCCTCCCCAAACACCTACAAACCCTCGAAGCCCCACCTGCTGGGGTGAACCAGACCAAGGAGAAGCGCTCGCCAAGGAAAGGCTGCGTCCAGTGCCTCTCCGCTTGAGGGTTTTACCCCACACCCTAAACCCTAAACCCTAAACCCTAAACCTCAAACCCTAAACGCTAAACGCTAAACCTTTTGTTTAGGAGTTCTGGTTTAGGGCTCTGGGCTTAGAGGGGTTTGGGGTGCAGTTTGTAGGGGTTGAGGGGTTGAGGTTTTGGGGGGCCCGTGCCTCTGCGTCCAGCCATTGAACTCCAGGGGCTTGTACCTGCCCCAGACGTCAGGGTTTTGGGTTTAGAGTTTAGGGTTGAGGGTTTGGGGTTGAGTGGTTAGGGTTCAGGGTTTAAGGTTTAGGGTTTAGGGATAGGGTTTAGGGTTAGGGGTTGAGGGTTCAGGGTTTAGGGTTGAGGGTTGAGGTTGTGGGTCCAGAAACCCTAAACCCTAAACCCTAGCCCAAAACCCTAAACCCTAAACCCTTAGAGGGGGGTCTAGGGCGTGTCCGCGCCTAATGTCGTAGGCGGTGCCTTCCACAACCAGCTCGCCGCCAGAGTAGTTGCCCAGACCCACGATCAACGAAATGCCCTGTCCTGGCGGCCACCCCTAAACCCTAAACCCTCAACCCTAAACCCTGAACCCTGAACCCTAAACCCTAAGCCAGTAATCCTTGAAGCCCAAGCCCTAAAGCCTACACCCTTAACCCTTACACCCACAAGCAAGAGGCCCTGAAATCCCGCCCTGAACCTGTAAACCCTAAGCTTTCAATGCCTAAACCCTCAACCCTCAACCCTCAACCCTCAACCCTAAACCCTAAACCCTAAACCCTACACCCTAAACCCTAAAACCTGAACCCTCAAAATCCTTAAACCCTAAAACTGCCCCAGCCCATCTTGGCTTCTCACTTTCTCCGAAGGCTTAGGTTTTGGGGTTTCGTCTGGGGTTTTGGGATTTGGGTCTTGGGGTTTAGGGTTTGGGGGATTAGGGTTTTGGGGTTTAGGAGATTTGGGGTTTTGGTCTTGGGGTTTAGGGTTTTGGGGTTTTGGGGTTTTTGGGGTTTTGGGGTATTAGGGTTTAGGGTTTAGGGTTTAGGGTTACTAAACGTTTAAACCCTTTTCTCCCTGGGAATCTCAACCCCGGAACACCTTAAACCCCTAAATCCTAAAGCCTCACTCGAAAGCCCTGAAAATCTGCAGAAAACCCAGGTGCCGGAAACTACGTTCCTAAAACTCTCCTAAACCCTACCCTAAACCCTATACCCTAAACCCCAAACCCGAAACCCTAAACCCCAGAGATTCAAGCCCGACCCCCAAAGAGGTCCAGCAACTAGGCATTTAGGGTTTAGGGCTCAGGGCTTAGGGATTAGGGTTTAGGGTTTAGGGTCGAGGGTTTGGGGTTTGGGGTTTCAGGGTTTTAGGGTTTAGGGCTAGGGTTTGGAACTTGGGGGTTTCAGAGTTTCAGGGTTTCAGGGTTTCAGGGTGTCAGGGTTTCAGGCTGTAGGGCTTAGGGCTCTTAAGATGCCCACAACCGGCGCCTGCACCAGTCCCCGAGTCCACGTGCGGCAGGAACTGCGCCCTCTTGTTGATGGCCTTCGGGTTTAGGGTTTAGGGTTTAGGGTTTAGGGTTTAGGGTTTAGGGTTTAGGGTTTAGGGTTTAGGGTTTAGGGTTTAGGGTTTAGGGTTTAGGGTTTAGGGCATAGGGTAAAGGGTAAAGGGAAAAGGGTAGAGGGTAAAGGGGAAAGGGTAAGGGGCTCGGGCTCCTGTAGGGGCTCCAGGGCTTGTGGGAGGTTAGGGTTCAGCCCCTCCCAACCAAACCCTAAACCCTAAACCCTAAACCCCAAACCCTAAACCCCAAACCCTAAACCCTAAACCCCAAACCCCAAACCCTAAACCCTAAACCCTAAACCAGGCCCAGGCGCGATGGTGCTGCTTCGTCGTGTCGGCCGAAGAACGCGCTCCAGCTCGAAAGCGCACAGCGCGAGCTCGGGGAAGAGGCGGTTGCCGTGGGGGGCCTAGGGTTCAGGGTTGAGGGGTTCGGGTTTGGGGTTTAGGGTTTGGGCTTCGGGGTTTGGGTTTAACTAGGGTTTGGGGTATAGCAGGTTTAGGGTTAGGGTTCAGGGTTTGGGGTTTAGGGTTTAGGGTTTAGGGTTTAGGGTTTAGGGTTTAGGGTTTAGGGTTTAGGGCCTATAAGGCTCGGGACCTTAGTAACCCAGCAACCTTATTACAATCAGCGGATATTTTCGGCTGGTTACTTTTTCTAATTATAAGAGGCGCCCAGAACCCAACAAAGGCGCAAGGGTACCACTCGGCCACGAAGGGATTTAGTGTCTAGGGTTTAGGGCTTAGGGCATAGGGTTTAGGGTTTCGGGCTTAGGGTTTAGGGTGAAATCTCCGGCCGACGGCGGGCTTGTTCACACAGCCTTCCTTGCTGGGATCCCGTTTTGGAAGGCGACACAACTCTGTTGCTTTTGCTAGCCCGAAGCGCATAAGTTTGCTTCAGCCACATGACCCTAAACCCTAAACCCTAAAGCCCTAAACCCTAAACCCTGAACCCTAAACCCTAAACCAAGCCCTACACAAAGCTGCCATCCTGGCTGATCTCTACTGCGAACAATACAGCTGCCTATGCAAGTACTTTCATCCCTCCCGTGGCAATGAAGAACCTCTACGCAAAACAAGAATACAAGCATAAACCTAGACCATGCAAGAAATGCACAAAGTCAGCCACTATGCGGGAATGCCATGCACGCATATACTTCCGCACGTTATGCACACTGCGAAGGACCTGCTCATCTCGGATCCGAAGCTACTTACCCACACCACAACTCCCCTCGCCCAACAGAACACGGCTGACTGAAAGAGAGTTATTCGGGCCTCATTTTTGGGTAGAGGGCGGTTGGGGTGAGGGTTGTCAGGGACCCTAAACCCTAAACCCTAAACCCTAAACCCTAAACCCTAAACCCTAAACCCTAAACCCTAAACCCTAAACCCTAAAACAAAAAGACAGGATGCAAGGGAACAATCTGGGCCAGCTCCCTAGATTGCGGCACCCTCTGGGGGCTCCTTCTTTCCAACCCACAGCCTCGTGTGTTTAGGATCTACCCCAAAATTTGAGACCCTAAACCCTAAACCCTAAACCCCAAACCCTAAACCCTAAACCCTAAACCCCAAACCCTAAACCCTAAACCCTAAACCCCACACCCTAAACCCTAAACGGCCGGCCCATCTGCACAGAGGGAGGCACGTCCAAGCCAGCCGGAACCGAGCCAACGCTGAAAGAGCCACCTGCGCCTGCGCTTCGAAGATGGTGGGGTTTAGGGTTTAGGGTTTAGGGTTTGGGGTTTAGGGTTTAGGGTTTGGGCTTTAGGGCTTGGGGTTTAGGATTTAGGGTTTAGGGTTTGGGGTTTAGGATTTAGGGTTTAGGGTTTGAGGTTTAGGGCTTAGGGTTTAGGGTTTGGGGTTTAGGGTTTAGGGTTTAGGGTTTAGGGTTTGGAGTTTAGGTTTGGGGTTTAGGGTTTAGGGTTTGGGGCTGAGGGTTTGGGGCTTGGGAGTCAGGGCTTGGGGCTTAGGGTGTAGTGTTTGGGGGTTCAGTGTTTGGGGTTTAGGGTTCAGGGTTCAGGGTTCGGGGCTTGGGGCTAAGGGTTTAGGGTTCCGGGTTTGGGGCTTGGGGTTTGGGGCTTGGGGTTTAGGGTTCGGGGTTTAGGGTTTGGGGCTTAGGGTTTAGGGTTTAGGGTTTAGGGTTTAGGGTTTGGGGTTGGGGTTTGGGGTTTGGGGTTTGGGGTTTGAGGTTTGGGGTTTAGGATTTGGGGGTTTGGGGTTGTGCACCCGGGCCCTTACCATCTGGCAACAGAGATCCAAATGGGTACATGGGCAAGGTAAAAACCTAAACTCTTACCCTAGAACACGGAAACCGCGAATTCAAGCAACTACCCCTAAACCCTAAACCCTAAACCCTAAACCCTAAACCCTAAACCCTAAACCCTAAACCCTAAACCCTAAACCCTAAACCCTAAACCCTAAACCCAAACCCTAAACCCTAAACCCTTTACCGGGTACATAGGCAGTCGACTGCTCAGGGTTTCGGGCCCTGATGATGTCGTCTCTTGGTTTAAGGTCTAAGGGTTGGGGTTTAGGGGTTTAGGTGTTTGAGGGTTTGAGGGTTAAAGGGTTGAAGGGTTTAGGGCTTTAGGGGTTTAGGGGTTTAAGGGTTTAAGGGTTTGTATCACTGTCTCCCGGACAATCAGGCTTCTCATTCCAAAAAGCTGGCGCATGACACATGACGCGATGGGTTACTATCATGTTGTGGGGGGGGACCCTAAACCCTAAACCCTAAACCCTGGGGGGGGGGGCCTTTGTCCTTGTCTGCCTTCGTTTTGACCACAAAGTCTTGCGCTTTCCTTCTGTCTGCTCTTCTCGTCCACTCGCCTTCTTTTTGGCAGCCTTTCTTCCTCCAACCCTAAACCCTAAACCCTAAAACCCTAAAACCCTAAACCCTAAACCCTTCCGGGGCTGCTTGATAGTGCTGTCCAGATCCTTGCAGCTTGTTTTCGGGCCTGCTTGTGGACGGACACATGGTCGGTCATGTTCTGAATCAAGGCATGGTTTAGGGTTTAGGGTTTAGGGTTTAGGGTTTAGGGTTTAGGGTTTAGGGTTTAGGGTTTAGGGTTTAGGGTTTAGGGCATCCAGTGCGCCTCTCTTTTCGGTCGGCGCCAGACTTTTCTGACACAGGGTCTTGCGCTGGTGGTGTTCTGATGGGCTAAACCCTAAACCCTAAACCCTAAACCCTAAACCCTAAACCCTAAACCCTAAACCCTAAACCCTAAACCTAAACCCTAAACTCCAAAACCCTAAACCCTTTAGGGGCTTAAGGATTTCAGGGTTTCAGGGTTTTATAGGGCGCGCAAAACCAAGCCCAGGATTGGTCAGGCCCAACGTCGGTTTAGGACCCTTACCCACCGAGCCGAGTTGCAAAGCAAAACTTTTTTAGGACCCTAAGCCCATAAACCCTGAGCCCTAAACCCTAAACCCTAAGCCCTAAACCCTAAACCCTAAACCCTAAACCCTAAACCTTCGGGTTTGGGGTGGCGAGGAGGTTTGGGGCGGAGGGAGGGGATAGGAGTGCCAGCACCATCTATCCCCATCACCCCAGGCAACACAGGAGGTTTAGGTTTAGGGTTTAGGGTTTAGGGTTTAGGGTTTAGGGTTTAGGGTTTAGGGTTTCGGGTTTTGGGGTTTAGGGTTTAGGGTTTAGGGTTTGGGGTTTAGGGTTTAGGGTTTAGGGTTTAGGGTTCAGGGTTCAGGGTTTAGGGTTTGCGGTTTCGGTGTGGGGGTTTAGGGTTTGGAGTTTAGGTTTAGGGATTCCTAGGTTTAAAGGCTTAACCCTAAACGAAGGCCTCCTTGCTCGGGTAGGGTCGTGTCTTTGATGACCTTTTCCCGGCCCTGGCTGTCAAGAAACACCCAAACCCCAAACCCCAAAAAACACACCCTAAACCCTAAACCCTAAACCCTAAACCCTTGGGTCTCGAGTTTAGGGTCAAAGACTTAAGGTGTGTACATCGAGTTGGGTGAGATGCGTGGCAAAGTTCTACCAACCTCGAGTCGATTTTAGGACTTAGGGTTGCTTGGGGTTTAGGGTTTAGGGTTTAGGGTTTAGGGTTTAGGGTTTAGGGTTTAGGGTTTAG